TTCGAGCACTAGAGCTAGCAGGATGATCCCTCCGGTTTTTTTTTCGCGCTTCGCCGATCCGACGACGGTATTCGAAATCTGACGCCGACGGGTACCCGTATCTGAGACGATCGATCACCGAATCGATCCTCGAAACCGACGCATTTACGAAACGATATGGTCAAAGGTCAAAGTCAAGTCAATAGTCGTCAGTAAGTCAGAAATACGCCGTTACGGCCTAAGAACGCTGGATTAAACTCATCGTCACTTCTGATGTAATCGGGAGATTAATATATTTAACAGAAATTGATATTTAAAATATAATTCTAACTATCTTGACAAACAACGTCTTCTCTCGGCCGAAAATCATGCCGAAAGCAACAATCTCCGACATTCAACTGTTTCCCAAAGCCTACTACTCCGCTACTCGCAAACATCAGCGGACACGGGGTGCAGGCACGGCGTGAAAATGACTGCCTATCATAAGGATCATAGGCGTCGATAACATATATATGACATAAATTGGGATTGATTGACGTATTCAATTTTATTGCTTTCGGTCAGTTCCAGCTTCACCGGAAATGACCACAACTTTTGATTTTTAAATGGCACCCTCGGTATTTTTTTACTTTATTCGATAGAAAATGACACTCTGTATCCAATGACATATCATATGTCAACTTTTGACATTTTCGCATATGGTTTATTTGAAATTGTAACCTGCGGTTCTTAACGACAATTTGACTCGAAATTCCAAGTGTGCGGTACCAAATTATTCGTAAAAAAATATTTTTTCAAATATGCTAATGAACCACCCTCGTTCCATTTGAAAAAATTGAGATATGATTAAAAATACGATTTGGGCATCTATTAACCGCCCTGGACCAGACACTAAAAACATTAAACGATCAAATATATTTTTCCAAGGCTCCTTGATTAAATATTAGTGCTTTTAACACAGCCATGGCACTCTCGATTCAAATTTAAAATACAATTTGTTTTTGAGTGACTATGTCAAAAGTTGACATATGATATGTCATTCGATTCAGAGTGTCATTTTCTATTGAATAAAATAAAAAAATACCGAGGGTGCCATTTAAAACTCAAAATGTGTAGCCATTTCCGGTGAAACCGGAAGTGACCAAAAGCAATTAAATACGTCAATCAATCCCAATTTATGTCATGTACTAACATACCAAATCTCGTTGTTTTATCTGAAAAAATAAAAAATTTATAGGGGGTGAGCCACTTTTGAGACGCACCCGGTATAGCCAAGTAGTGGTAAAGGTACTCGGTTTTAGGTCAATTCTAGATTAGTGTAGGATTGTGTGTGTGTCTGAAATACATTGGGGGAATATGAATACGCTAAAGAGATATTTAATATTTATACATATTATTTCCATGTGAACTTAAAAACCTAATGTATTTTACAAAGTATTCTAAATTAGTTCTATTAGAACATAAAACAAAAAAAAGTAGATATACCGGGTGTATATCTACTTTTTATTTAGTAAATCGGGATTGACCTATTCAATTATTTTAAGCCCCTTCGTGGTTCATCGGAAATTACTACAACTTTTGATTTTTAAACGGTACCCTCGGTATTTATTTTAGTTTATTGGATAGAAAATTACATTCTGAATAAGAACAAAGGCGGCTCATTAGCATATTTGTAAAAATAATTTATTACCAATAATTTGATACCAAAATTGGTAGTTACATTTATGGTGGCGGAAATCTAGATTGAAATTTAAAATATTATTATTTAAGCAAAATTGTCAAAAGTTGACATATATTATGTCATCCTATTCACAATGCCACTTTCTATCAAATAGAGTAAAAAATGCCAAGGGTACCGTATTGTTTTAATTGAGTGGAAAATTAATAACTTAAAAGAACAAAATTAAAATAACAAGACACACACAGAAATATATATAGGTACATATATACAGAGAATATTATTACAGTTGAGGGTTGGAACCTTTGGTGTTACACAGCAAAATAAAATTACACTAAATCACCACAATACACCAAAACACTTTTACTTTTACACAGGACGCGCGTTTCGCTAACCATGTTAGCATCATCAGCAGATGATTATAAACTAATGAGTTTATCCCAAACTAATGAGTTTATAATCATCTGCTGATGATGCTAACATGGTTAGCGAAACGCGCGTCCTGTGTAAAAGTAAAAGTGTTTTGGTGTATTGTGGTGATTTAGTGTAATTTTATTTTGCAGAGAATATTATTAGGATATTACAAGGTACCTACCATTAAATAATCAAAAGTTGTAGTTTTGGGTAATTTCCGGTGAAACAGGAAGTGAACAAAACTAATTGACTACGCCTAACCTAATCAATCTTCATATTATGTCATATACTGAAATAGCAAATCTCGTATTTTATCTGAAAAAATAAAAAAGTTATATGGGTCGAAAACCACTCAGTATAGTAAATTAGAAATAAGTAATTTGTTAAAGGTAATTTTTGCAATTTTAATTAACATCCTCTATACCAAATATCGACAATTTTTTGGAAAAATTAAATTTAACAGGATTCTGCGAATTTTATTTTAAATGGCAATCAAGAAATTTGGCGATTCGTAAACATAAAATAATTTAAGTCCTAGTATTCTTAGAGAAATTATACATTGTTAAGTTGTAACAAAATAAGGTCTAGAGCTTACATATGTTTTTTTACGATTCTCGCTGAGGTTAAGGTTAAGACAGAGATGATGTGATCCAATTAGCATACACGTTATGATCTTTAGACGAGTTTGTACCAAACAAGCTGTTCTTAGCTTCCTCATTTAAATGTTACATCTTATACAAGTTGTTTAAAATTGTTGGATTACATTGCAGAATGCCGCCTCTCAGTAATTTTCAAGAGTATGTCTCTCTTTCATTAATCTTATTAAATCGTCCCATTGCTGCCAAAAGTCACTAACTTACTTTTTATTACTTCCGAGAAAAATGCGTCTAAAGATGAATTGCATTGCATAAAGATGTTATAGTTAGTAACTATTCGGTATTAAAATAAAACATAAATAGCCAGAAATCGTTGTTAATGACATTTGCAATCGATTCTCCGATTCAAAACCTAGTTAGTGATTGAATTTGGTTGTTCGAAAAAATGTTAGTTAGTGACTTTTGGCAGCAATAGGACGAAATTTACTTATTTTTTGATTTGTTATTTTGAGAAATAAAACTGAATAGTAAAATATACATTTTTTACAACCCAGATATACCCTAGAGAGATTATTTTACAAGTATCAGGGAAAAAAAACTTACCTTAGTATTGACAATAATAGATAATATGGACCAAAGAATGCACTGTAGATAAGTTTTCGCATGTGGGCATATAAATTCAAATGGTCAAAATACAAGGCAAAAATTTAAATATCCCTAAAATTTGTAGTCTCTATATATATCTTGGAACACTATTTCTATACAGGGTTTACCTCATACGATAGGGATTATTGTAGCCAGACGATTAGATTTTTTCAAATTGTATTAGGTTCGTTGAAGGACTATTATTAGAGCTACAATTTAAAAATATTTTTACAAGATATAGAGTGTTCCAAATAAATATTCCAATATATCCGATATAAGTTCCAAATATATCAAAGTTGTATTTTTTTTAATTTTAATCGTATTTTTTTATTTTAATTTGTAACTCTCCCAGATATTGACAATATTAACATTTCTACGGCGCATGTCGTTTTTCCACATCGGTCACCGATATATTTTATTCAGTAAACTACGCCGATGCCCCTATTTCCGCCAAAAAAATGGGCGCTTAGATCAAAGGGATTTTTTAGTCATTACTGTCTTAAGTAGAGAATAATTAAATAAAATTAGTACCATCTGCTAATGTTCAAAGTGCAAAGTACACATTCAAAGTACACATTCAAAGTACACAAAGTACATTCCAGAAAAAATGTCGGTAGAAATTTGGAATGAACTCGATGATAGATTAGGGAAGGCGGAAGTTAGCTTGATCAACATTCAGCTGATCTCTAAAAAGGTATAAAACAGCCTTGACTCCAGCTTATCTTTTTACATTGATTAAGTTTAATTACTCGGGACTAAAAATACAACCTAACATCAGAAGAAACTAGTTCTGCATTAGAGTTTGCAAATGAAATGTATTCAAATACCGAAATTCTGGCACTTCACAATTTCAAAATAAATCTCTGCCATTTAGAAGTGTAGTGGATTCACACGAAATAACTTCAAAAATCGGTCCAACATTTTAATAGATCAATAGATATTAGTTATGAATAGTTGTATCTTTTACAATTATTTTTCGATTTATTAAAGTATTTAAACTTTACAACAGCAAGTCCAGCAAGTGTATATAGATATAGGGTATATTTGATATAGGAATACTTGTTTATAGCTTTATAGGAAAAGCTTTTATAATTTTTTCAGTTATCTTTCGATTTATCATAAGTTTTTAAATAAGTTGATTTTTTTTATTTAAATCCATGATTAAAATAAAAAATCCGTTGATTTAAATCATTGCACTCTGCTCTGTATATATCAAAACAAATTATTTTATTAAACGCCTTAATTTTCAACATTCTAATAATATTTGTCATTCGGATTTTCTTCGCTTCTATCCCATAAACCATAAATTCTTAAAATTGACACTAAACTAAATTAAAACCAGGACATCTATTTCTGATAAATAGAATATAGTTCTGGAATGTAAAGGGACCTTCAAAAGTGACCTGATTTCAAAATAAACCAATCATATGCGGTACATTTACAAAAGAATGCACATACATGCACATACATGCGCTCTCTATAGGTATCTAATACAGCTCCGTATATGGAATTAAATTAATGTAAATATCGCCCACGTTTTGTTTTTATCGTTGCCGCAGCATCTCTCTCTCTAGTTCGATGGACGAAATAGATAACTTACCTAATGCGGTTCTGTTTCTCTTTTGTTCTTACGCACTAATTGAATGATGGATGGGTTACGTAACTGATAGTGTTGCTTTATTTTTCAGCCTGTCGCTGCGACCCGAACGGCTCCAAGTACTCGTCCTGCGACCCGACCAGTGGAAACTGTATCTGCAAGACGCATTACGAAGGAAGAACATGCGACAAATGCAAGGTAAGAAATAATGATTTTTGATGTGACAAACTTCTTTACGCGTGCTGGGAGTAAAAATTCAAGGCCGTGACACAGGGCCGTGTTTTCAAATGCTTCAATTTAAAAGTTGTAAGGTCAGTACGATAAAGATCTTTCACGAAGAAATTTGATAGTTTAATACTGGCCTTAGTAAGAAGTTTCACTTCAAATACACACATGGCCAAAATTATTGCATATAACGATATTTTTATTTTATTTTGGACCTAATATGATTCTTTTTATATTTTTGGACATATTGGCTTACTATACGAATAACTAATATAAAATTAAAAATCTAAGTGCAACTAGGCTGTTATTATAATTTTATTTCATAACGGTCAAAATCAACAAAAACGAATTTCGTTTTAAACAGAAAATATTGAAAACAATGTTAATTATTTCTCACAACTAATAGTCTGTATTGCCTCCTCGAGCCTCAATGCAAGCTGTGAGACGACGTGGCATGCTCTCAATTAAGTTGTCCAGAAGATGTTGAGGAATCTTCCCATGTTTCGCGCGTAGCAATTTTCAATTCGTTTAAGGTACGGGGGGATTATTCCTTTTGGCAGTATGGCGTTTTAGCATGTCCCAAGCATGCTCGATCACATTTATATCTGGAGATATCGGTGGCCACCACAGTTTTCTTATACCCTCTTCCTCACAAAATTCGCGAACTGATAAAGTGCGATGGGGAGGAGCATTATCGTCCATGTAAACAAATTGATCCCCCACTGCCCCTCGAAATGGACAAACAATAGGCTCTAAAACGTCTCTAAGATATGAGGCACCTGTGCCATCAATAAAAACAAGAGGAGTTCGAGCTCCGTGCATTATACCTGCCCATACCATTATGCTTCTCCCTTGAAACAGGACACGGGGTTGAGCTGCATTCAAGCGTGCTCGTCTTCCAGATGCTCTCCAGACCAAAGTTCGTCGCGAGTCTGACACTAGGCCTATTCTTGTTTCATCACTAAACATGACGAAATTCCAATTAGGTCCATTTGCTCTCATCGCCTCAGCCCATTGTAGTCTCGTAATTTTGTGCTGTAAATTAAGCTTCTGAACACGTAGATGCCTCCTTAAATGTAATCCTCTGTCATGGAGTCTTCTTGCTATGGTCTTTCTTGAAACATTTACTCGTTCAAGGCGAGCTAACTCATTTTTAGAAAGCAGGGGATTGCGTCGTGCAATTAGGTATATTTGACGGTCTTGCACAGCAGTAGTAACTCTCTTTCTACCTCTTCCAGGCCGGTCTGTAACCTCCTTTTTCTCCCTGAATATTTTTAATATTCGCGAAACATCGCTTTGGTTAACTCCTACAATTTCAGCTATTGCAACTTGCCGGTAGCTCTGTTGAGACAGTATTACTATTCTGACTCTATTAAACTGTGAAATGAGGTTTCTAGGCATTTTAAGGCCAAAACAATGGTCAAATTTCTTCTGAAACATAAGGGACCACAAATCGAAATGTGCAAGAATTTGTAATAATATTGGGTCTGAACAATAAACATTGTTTCCCATATCCATTTTAACAAAAAAATGGTTATTACATATTTTTAAACGATATATGCAATAATTTTGGCCATGTGTGTATGCGCAGTTAGTGCACACACATTTTTTTTGACTTTACTTACATTACATTTTTATTTATTATACATATTTATTTTTTATGTTTATTATATTTTTAGAAAGCTCATAACAAAGCAAATAAAATAAAAATACAGGGTATCCCATTTAAAAAACATAAATTTGAGTCATATCTCAAGAATGAGACTACAACCCAATGAAAATCTAGTGACGCCACTGAATTCTACGTGAAAAACTTTATGAGAATCGATCATTTTTTCGATCAGTTATAATACACCCTCTGTTTTGGCAGTTTGATTTTGGATAAGGCCAATATCGACTCTGAAATTCAGCACAAGGTTAGCAGCGCCTCAAGAACGTTCTGGAAATTAATAGACAGGGTTTTCTACAATCACGACTTGAGCACAAAAACGAAACTTGCAATCTACTGAGTAATAATAATCCCCACCATGTTGTATGGGACCGAAACCTGGGTGCCGTACCGCCGACACATGAACGCATTAAACAAGTTGCAACAGGGACACCTTAGACAACTTTTAAGAATCAAATAGTTCCATAATGTCTCAAACCTATAGGTTCTTGAAAAAGCTAACTGCGAGCGTATTGAAGTCATAGTTACAAAATCCCGCTTAAGATGGGCTGGTCAAGTTTGAAGAATGCAAGAAAACTGCATACCAAAATCTCTGCTTTACGGTAAGCTTGTAGCCGGTAAGAGGAGGCCGGGTTAGGTTGGTTTATCAAAAGGTACAAGGACATTTTCCACGAAAACTTAAAGGGGATTAACATGCAGAATGAATGGGAAGAAACAGCTCACAATAGAACTCAATGGAGAAGAATTGTAAACTCAGTTAACAGCGACAACCAAAAAGTAAAGAGGCAACACAGCAATGAGATTTTGGAATGTCCGGAGTGCGATAGACAGATAACATAATGTATCGGGCTTTTCAGTCACAAAAAAGCTCATGAAAGAAAACGCCTTGCGTGACCATCTTCTGATGCGTGTCAAATACTCGTCAGCCAGTAATGGCCAGTATTTAGTATATGTAATACCTACTGTTTGACCAGCGGATCTGAAGCTACGGAAGGAATGCGAGAAAAAAAATCGAATTGCCACGTTTATCTATAAAATTGCAAAATTGCCAGACATGAACTATAAATTTAATATATTTTTATTATATAAAATGTGTTCAGCATATATTCTGACGTATGGTGTCCTGAGGTTGGAGATGCCAGAGGGTGTGGGACTGCTAGCCTTCGCGGATGACCTCGCGGATGTGGTTACAGGTGCAACGGAGACTATAGTGACAACCAAGGCTAATATTGCCATCAATAGGATAGCCGAGTGGACCAGGCAGAAACGGCTAGAACTGGCACCAGAGAAAACAGAGGCAATACTGCTCACAGGCAGGAGGGCGGTTAGACATGTTGGGGTTGATGTTCTAAACATGGAAATCAGTACCAGAGAGACCATCAAATATCTTAGTGTTGTTTTCGATTGAGGGGCTAGAATGACCAAACAAGTCGAATATGTTACCAGAAAGGCGGAGAAGACCGTCACATCACTGTGTTGGTTAATGCCGAACAAAGGAGGACCTTCATCGGGCAAACGCAGACTACTTGCAAATGTTGCTATTTCCACGTTGCTCTACGCTGCACCGGTGTGGGGTGGAGCTATGCGCTATCGCAAATATAGAGACATGTGTCAACATTTATTGAGAAGAACAGCTATCAGGGTGTGCTGTGCTTTCCGTACTGTGTCTACTGAGACTGTACTGGTTATTGCAGGAATAGCTCCAATCGAACTTCAGGTGGAGAAAAGGATCATGGGAATAGGAGCAGATAAATGCGCAAAAACTGAGGCCAGACAAAAGACGCTGAACAGTTGGCAAAATAGGTGGGAGGCCATGCGTGAAGTGACTCAGTGGACTAAACGCCTCATACCAAACCTAATACTGTGGATGAACAGAAAACATGGTGAGGTTAACTACTACCTCGGTCAGCTACTGACTGGACATGGTTGCTTTCAGGCTTACTTCTGTAGATCTGGAAATCACAAAATTTTCGTTTAACATTTCAAAATCATAATTACCAAACCAAACGGAATAATTTCACTTCATAATTCGGAGATTGTTGAATTTAGGTACATAATTATTGTTATACATATAATATCGTAATACACGTAATGTAATTCGTCCTGTATTTCAGGAACTAAAAGGGCTAGGACAAATCTGTGTGTAGCATCTTTAGTTTCATAAAAAAGTAGGAATGTGATGCGAAAAAAACGCATCTTTATATCTCTACTTAGAACCGAGAAACCTTGTAAAATACACGAAAATGGGACACCCTGTATATCAGATTTACCAACTGCTTCTTATAAAATATTAATCATCCCCTTTTATTTCATATTAGGACGGTTATTGGAAAACGTTCAAGAAAGACTGCATCAAATGCCATTGTAACGAAAAAGGTTCTATGGACAGTGTTTGCGATCCAGAAAATGGACAGTGCAAATGTCGTCCTGGTGTAACAGGTCAGAACTGTGATAAATGTATGACGTCATTCTACGGGACGGTTGAAACGGGATGTTTAGGTAAGTAATTTTCTCTGTATGTGTGAATATTCCAAAGGTAGTGAGTTAGCATACTATCAGGAAACTAGTAGCTTTACTCCTTGCCAAATCCTTTGTTCTTTTTCTGCCACTTTATATGACCTTGTTCTCGCGTCCCGTGACCACTGACGTAACTGTAAAGTCGTGGTCTATAACTAGGCAAAGTATAGTCGCCATAGTTTCACAGAGATGTCTTTAGGAAAATATGAGTTCACAATAAAATAAAATAAAAAAAATTGATCAACGAGTAAAAATTTGCTTGAAAACAGAATATTTTCACATTTCATTTAAGTAACAATTCTTTTGTATCTGAAAATCTTGATGGGAAGAAATGCGGAAGAAATATATAATAACATATTTTTATATTATTATTTATTTCAAAGCTTTTCTACAACTTTTTTTTTAATTTAAAACAAGTATCCTCACGTAATAAAAAAAAATTTTTAGTTATTGTTACCGAGTCCCGAAGGTTCCGAAAAAGCAGGGAATTAATAATTTCGAGTCCCGGTTCATTGATATCTCAAAAGAACTGGGAATTTCCGGTTCTAAACCCTAGTTACCATATTATCAAGAAATTATGTTTTTTAACTAAAAACGAAAAAAAATTGCAGATTAAAAAAAAGCGCAGAAAAATCCTCATATTTTTAGGGCCAAAATATACTACTAAAAATATTTGCACTTTATTATTATCTTATCTTATTAAGATCAAATCTATTTTTGATCTTAAGATCTTATTAAGACTTACCCTGTATAGGGCGATTCACAGTTATGGTCCGTTATAGCGTTTCCGGAACCGGAGCTGCTTTTCGGAACCGGTAATTTCGGTACCATGCCTCTAAAGAACCGGGATTTCCAGTTTTTTTCGGTACTTTCGGTACTAGCAAATTTTTGTTCAATGATGGTGCAGTTGGTTAAACAGCAAGCAAGGGATGGTTGTCAAAAGTAAAATCGATAATAAAATTGAGGTTTAAATGAAAATAATATCAAATTATTAAGTAGTAATCAGTCTTGAGAAAATTAACCTGAACACAAACATGATCACAAATGACTTTCAAAAAAAACTCAAAGCACAATTTTTTGAATTATTACTACAACCAATAGCAGCACACAGTAAGACACTCATTTTTTGTCAATCCGTCTCTGTGCTGGGACGCAACGCTTGAAACCTTCGCAGGTCGACGGACGTAACTAAACTGAAACGCTCTGCAATCTGCCGATATTCGACAGATTGTAAAAACTGGCAGAAAATATTTGGGAGAGTGCAACTACTCTTTTCCTTCTACTATGGTATTACGGTGGGCCAAAAAAATCGACTATTTTTTTTAATTTTATTCTCTGAAAAAAAAGGTTGGAAGACACCTCCAAAAAATTCTCTGCAAGTATGAGCTCTTAATTTTAATAGGAAGGTCCTCCTTTCAGTTTTCTATTTTTTTCCTTATTATTAGAAAGAAAAATGTACATCTCGGTGTCTACTATTTGGAAAACAGACTTAAATTTGTAAAAATTTCCACGGAAAACTCATAAAATAAGTTGGAATTGTTCGAATTATTACCAAAAACTGTATAAGTTATTATGCATTGAAGTTTGACGATGAATATTCTTTAAACGGTTAATTTAATCTAAACTAATAATAAGAAACCTTTTTGTAGATCAGTGAATTTTCTACAAAACCGTGAATTGCGCGTATCACAATGATTTTTTGTTAACGAATTATAAAATTCATAAGAAAAAAGAAATCTGACTTAAAATAATCAAACTTCAATCTTAAATTACTTTCGAACGGTCAAGTTTACGAAAATTGTAAGAGACCTTTTTTTTTTGTAGAGAATTCAATTTCCTACAAATATATGAGACGAAATATTTTTTCCAAATAGTAGATACCGAGATATGAATTTTTCTTTCTAATAATAAGAAAAAAATGAGTTGGAAAAATTGAAGGAGTATTAAAGCTGTAGGAAAAATTGACGAGAAATGGCTTCATAAATTTGATATTTATAAGTCTGTTTAGGTACCTAAAAATTACATACTGAGCACTGAGCTGTAAACTAATCATCATAAATAAAGTGTTTGAGAATACTAAGAGTATACCTCACGGGAAATATTATTTAACAAAATAATTAAAATTTATTTTATTGGATATTAATTAGTACTGTTACTTTTTAAACAAAAAATGTGCTTTGTATTGTGTGTAGTTTGGTATACGGAAAATTTTTCACACATTCAACAGATAACAGATACATCCTTTTCTAGAAGAAAAGAAATGATATTCTTTAAAAAAGCATTATTGTTTTATGTTCTAATAGAACTAATTTAGAATACTTTGTAAAATACATTAGGTTTTTAAGTTCACATGGAAATAATATGTATAAATATTAAATATCTCTTTAGCGCATTCATATTCCCCCAATGTATTTCAGACACACACACAATCCTACACTAATCTAGAATTGACCTAAAACCGAGTACCTTTACCACTACTTGGCTATACCGGGTGCGTCTCAAAACTGGCTCACCCCTATAACTTATTATAGTAACTTATACTTATTTCTTCAGATAAAAAACAAGATTTGGTATGTTAGTATATGACATAAATTAGGATTGATTGACGTATTCATTTGTTTTGATCACTTCTTGTTTTACCGAAAATGACTACAACTTTTGATTTTTAAATGGCACCTTCGGTATATTTTTACTTTATTCGATAGAAAATGACACTCTGAATAGAATGACATATCATATGTCAACTGTCGACATTTTCGCTTAAAACAAAATAATATTTTAAATTTTAATCTGGAGTGCCATGGCGGTGTTTTTTTTTGCTAATTTTTAAGCAAGGAGTCTCGGAGAAATAGATTTGATCGTCTAATGTTTTTTTTGTGTCTTGCCCTGCCCGGTTTTTCAAATGGAACAAGGGTGGCTCATTAGCATAATTTGGTACCACATACTCAGTATTGCGAGTAAAATTGTCGTTGTGAACAGCATGTTACAATTTCAAATTAATCATATACGAAAATGTCAAAGGTCGACATATAACATGTTATTCTACTCAGAGTATCATTTTTTATCGAATAAAGTAAAAAAAATACCGAGGGTGTCATTTAAAAATCAAACGTTGTAGTCATTTCCAGTGAAACAGGAAGTGACCAAAAACAATTGAATGCGTCAATCAATCCTAACTTATGCCATATACTAACATCAAAAAAAAAATAAAACTATCCACTGTAAGATACTAACATACCAAATCTCGTTTTTTAGTAAAGTTTTAAAAGTTTCTCGTAGGAGTGAGTCACTTTTGAGACGCACCCTGTTCACATACCTGATGGTGATGACTAAGAAGAAATATTAATTTATCCTCCTTGTATAAAGACAGGAATTTTTGATTAGAATTCTTAAACAAAGTTAAAATAAATATAAACAAATCTAAAATGCCATATTTCGTTTTCGATTCTTAAATTTTATTGTACTCGAGGTCCAACGACAATTTCCTCATTCGGAGCGATTCCCATACAAGCACGTAGCCGATCGCATCTGTCAATTTAAGACACGAATAAATAGAGAGAAGGAATAAGAAATAAAAGAAAAATAAGAAACACGATTGACCCCGTCTCTGTTATCCAGCCAATTAAAATTGATCCAGCCATCCATCACCTCGGAACGTAAGACGCCGCGCCGCCGCCGCTGCGTTTTGAAATCAGTCGGGCCATTACCGATTTGACAATGAGTTCAAATGGTTAGATGAAAAATCCAACACATAAAAATAAATATAAATATAAAGCTTCATTCAGTATCTCTAAATTATGGGAATAAATTAGTTGTTTCAATAAGCGTAGAAGTTTGTTCTTCGAATTTCAATGTAAGCCAAAGAATATGTAAGCGTTCAAAACGTCAGAATTAGTGGTAGTTTAGTTATTTTTTCAGATAAAGCAACGAAATTTGGAATGTTATATAGTATATGACATAAATTACGATTGATTGACATATTCAATTGTTTTCGGTCACTTCCTGTTTTACCGGAAATGACTACAACTTTTGATTTTTAAATGACACCCTCCGTATTTTTTACTTTATTCGATAGAAAATGACACTCTGAATAGAATGACATGGCATATGTCAATTTTTGACATTTTCGCATATGGTTTATTTGAAATTGTAACATGCGGTTCATAACGACAATTTGACTCGAAAAACCAAGTGTGTGATATCAAATTATTCCTAAAAATGCTTTTTCCAAATATGCTAATGAGCCACATACAGGTGACAAATTGTATGTCATTCGATTCAGAGTGTCATTTTCTATCGAATAAAGTAAAAAAATACCGAGGGTGATATTGAAAAAAAACCAAACCAAAAGTTGTAGTCATTTCCGGTGAAACAGGAAGTGGCCGAAAACAATTGAGTACGTCAATCATTCCTAATTTATGTCATATATTAACATACCGAATCTCGTTTTTTTTTCTGAAAAAATAAAAAAGTTATAGGGGTGAGCCACTTTTGAGACGCACCCGGTATTTTCATTAATAAACTAAAAAAAAATGGTGGATTTCCATTTTCATTTCAAAAAGTGAGTTGATAGGTTTTTGAAGGTGTGATCAAAGACAACTACAGCCAATCACATACCAATATTTCTAAATTTTATTTTTGGAATAGGTATTTATACATCTTCTCTTTAAGATACAGTGATTGAACTGATCACTAATAATGATGTTGATTATATATTTTTTTCTGTGACAGACAAAATGTAACCCTAAAAATGTTAAATATATTTTATCAAAATCGGTTATTTCTAAATATTATAGAGTGTTTGATATCAAAATTCATGAAATTGTACAAAGCTTTTTTTACAGTTAGGTTGTGCATGTATTTTGACTCAGTTCAACATAATCCGTTTATCACGAGTGGCGTCCACGATGAGTTCTTCATATAATTTCCATTCAAATCCGGTAGCAAAAATTATTCTCACATTTACATCTTCTCTTAATTTAATAGATTTATTAAAACAAATAGTTATTTACCCTCGTTATATTTAAAAGTAGTCTTTATAGCAAAACTAATCCTAAAAATCAAATTTCTCTCTTCAATTTTAGTGGAGTGCCTTAAGCCCTTGTGGGATACAAACCTCGAAATTCAATTACTGTGAAGGAATTTTGATAAAACTTTTTGCATTGAATTGTTAGTAAGATATATTACAACATTACACTACATTTTACGATACAGGGCAGATGAGCTGTCACAAGTAATGGAAAAAAGTATTTCAACCGTTAAATATCAGTTACGGAGATTATATTAATCAAATCCAATTCCAAAGTAATTTTAATTTAAAAAGTATTTTAAAAATCAAATACTTTAGTATAATACTTGGTTTTGTTCAAGGAAAGTACTTCAAATATCACATATTTATTTCATGGATTTATGAAGTACTTGAGATTATTTCATTGATTTATGAAGGAATTGAAGTCAAAAATAAAAATCATATGAACTGAAGAAATTACTACAATTACGAAAATAATAAAATAAAAGCAACGAAAAAAAATGGGTAAACATTTTAGGATTTTATCTATAAAACACAATACAGAAAGTTTCACATTAAATCATTTACAGTAATTGAATTCGGAGGTAAAAGTCTCCGGACACTCCACTATTTTTAATGTCTGAAACTTAGATCTATTCCACTTCTCTCTTTTTCTTTCCATTCGGTTCCCACGACGATCATTTATTGACCATAAACTAGTAGCTAATTCGAAACAGTTGACTTTCTTAGTGATCGCAAATAGAATATACTTATACAGAATATTTAATCTGTAAATATTATTACTCTAGAGCAGCGTTCCTTAACCGGTGGTCCGCGGACCCCTGGGTGGACCCCTATATGCATATGGGGGTCCACCGTCTTATCTATGAACATTTGAATTAACAACTAAATGTCAGCAAGTCTTCACATTAATACAGTATTTGAAATGTTTATAATTTTTTTTGTACTAAAATAATTTGTCCTAATATTTCTGTGTTTTTTTTAATTAGGGTTCTTGATATTGTGCTCGATTTTTTAGGGGTCCGCGAACTGAAAAAGGTTAAGAAACGCTGCTCTAGAGTATTATAAATATCATAAATTATGTAAAAAATTGTAAAAAGAGTCAATTATATCTCGTATTTTATGTTATATGATACAGTGCCAATAATAAAATTATGGGAAGTATTGCACGACTCAAGAATTAACGCAGCTCTGATAAAAGCTGTACAGAATCTTTACCATGGAGGAAAATCACAAATAAAAACGGTCAACGGTCTCTCAGAGGAAATTTCTATCACTAAAGGGCTCCGACAGGGTTGCTGTATATCCCCAACACTATTTAAAATTTATATTGCCAAGGCCTTACATCTATGGAAAAGAAAATGTAACGGAATGGGTATAGAACTAAATGACATATGCCTATACACCTTGCAATTTGCAGACGACCAGGCCATAATTGCAAACGACAAAGATGACACGGAATATATGGTGCGGAAAATAATTGAAGAATATGCTAAATGGGGTCTCACAGTAAATACAGAAAAAACAAAATACCTTCCAATTGGAGCTAATAGAGAAAATCTTATTTTAGACAATAATATGGAAATTAGGGCATGTGAAGATTACAGGTACCTGTGATCGATATTTACAGGAGATGGAACGGACTATAGAGAAATAAACAGCAGAGTAATACAGGCACGAAGAGTTATCAGATGCATAAATGGCATTCTATGGAGCACTGAAATTACAAAAAACAGGAAATATAATATATACGAGACACTAGTTAAAAGTATATTACTCTATGGATGTGAAACATGGCCACTCACTGAAAGGAATAAAAGGAAATTAGAGACAACAGAAATGGACGCGATTAGAAGAGCAATGAGAATTTCACGGAGGGATAAGATCAGAAATGAAGACATTAGACAACAGATGGAAATAGAGGGAACAATAGTAAATTATATAGAACAAAAACAATTAATATGGTACGGCCACGTTCAGAGAATGCACAATGAAAGAATTCCAAAACAAGTCATTCATTGGATACCACCTGGTAAACGAAAGAGAGGACGTCCCAAGAAAACATGGATGGAAGGAATAAGAAGGTCGATGAGCGAGAAAAATCCGACCGAAGATCGATGGGAAAATCGCACAGGGTGGAAGTTAGGCATCGGACAACGTCGTAGGACGTTCTGACCCGAATTTATATATATATTTTATGTTATACAGGGTGACTTGGTGTTCTGAAGGAGCTGCGTATCTTATTTATTTTTATAAAGCATATTTAGAAATATTTTCATAAATTTATACAGACTTATCTTAGACAGGAAATGTCGGAAACAATAAATAGCCGTCCGATGTCAAACAGCATTAAACGCTATCAACTCAGTAGCTATCAGTTCGGTAAAAGAATGCCCAGAGAAGCTGAACAAATTAAGCAAAGAAAATAAAGACCTCCTATTCTGGGTGCCAGCCCATCAAGGAATAGAAGGTAATGAGAAAACAAACAATTTAGCTAGAAAAGGAGCGAACAGTCCAGTAACTGGACCAGAGCCGTTCTGCTTCCTAGAAACCAACTTAAAGCGGAACTCAAGAACATGGTAGACTCCATCCATAACCTGGAATGAAAATCCTCCAATGGTCTAAGATCCTCGAACAAGTTCCTCAGAAGAACTTACGACCGAGAAAAATCAAAGCTTTTCCTTGATTTAAGTAAGAACAGTCTTCGGATTGTCACGGGGTTTTTAACAGGGCACTCTCTCCTCAATGAACATTTCAGTAGATTGAAGCTAAGAAACAACGGGGAATGCAGATTCTGTGCAGAAATGGGGAAACACCAGAACACCTCATCACTGAGTGCGCCGAGACGACAACCATTCGTGTCATAAATTTTGTACGACTGAAAACCTCTGTAAAACCGTCCTAAATACTGGCTTTTATCAAAGCCATGGGACTGTATGATGAGTTACCAAACTAATCTCTGTAAAATATCTGAGACACTGACTTGTCTCGCTTTTGTCAAAACATTAAATTTAAATTTTTGTCAAAAAAAAATGAACAAAACCCGATAGATTTCGTAGTGCTTGGCACAAAATAAATATGGATAAAATTTATGTGCATTTATGATACATATAATCATAAAAATGGAAAACATATAATACAATTTATAATCATAAATGCACATAAATCATAAATATACAATTTCGACCAACCTTAGATCTTTAAATACTTAGTTGTTCCACGGTAGTCGTGTATCTACAGTTTAGTTAAAAAATTACATTACCCTATAACTTTTTTTACAGAATGTGAACCCTGCTCAAAGCCAGGTCATATATGCGGCAAAGGAGGAAAATGCGTTTGTCCCGACCTTACCAGTGGAAAAGAGTGCGACCAGTGCGTTACCAACTCATATGGATACGTACCCCAATTAGGTTGCAAGGTAAGTTTTGTCTTATCGTCTCGTACTTTGGATACTTACTTTTTTCTCTATGTATATTTTCAGCCTTGCAATTGTTCCTCGGTAGGTTCTTCGTCTTTACAATGCGGTCAAGACGGTACCTGTTTCTGCAAGCCAGGATTCTCAGGAGATAAGTGCGACGAGTGCGCTTTTGGATATTACGGTTATCCCAATTGTAGGAAATGTTTATGCAGCATCGATGGTACTGTTCCGGAGCACTGCCGGGATGGAGAATGCCAATGCGACGCAGACGGCAATTGTTTATGCAAGGTAAAGGCCAGCATTTATATATACAGTGTGTTTCAAAAAAAATATGCGCCATCTCTCGTGGGGAGATTTTTTACTTAAAAATAATATATTATTTTTATATTAACATACTGGGGGGTACTGATTTGTAATCTTATTGGGCTCTACTCAGTTTATCTATTAAGTTTTTAAGTTGAAAATTAATAAGTAAGATTCAGTGTGCAAAAATGATCTTTATAGTATTTAAAAAAATAAAATTAGCTAGACGCTAAGGTACAAATATAATTAAAATCTCCTGAAAATGAAATTTACGGTGCGCCTCTTTGGAATTAAAGAGAGTGAACTTATAAAGCCAATTTAAAAGCAATTAAAAGATTAATCTAATTTTTGTTAACCCCTCTGCAACATTAAATAAAACAAAATTTTTATTTCTACCTTTTTAACATTTTTTTTATAGGAAAACGTGAGGTCCAAAAAGTGTAACACATGCAAGGAGGGAACCTTTGGCTTAACCAAAGATAATTCTAAAGGATGTATGCAATGTTTCTGTTTCCATAGAAGCACACATTGTACCGACACTCAATACCACTGGGATAAAATCAGAGTTCAACGCTCTGTTAATAAGCGAGAAGTTATTAACTCAGATATAATTAGTTTACCAAAGGAATTTACGGGTGATCTCACAACTTCTTATGGCGGATACCTTAGCATCAACAGTACCGGTGGCCGATTTACCGTTTTCATCACAGGAAATTCAATATCACTACAATCCGAAATCAACACAGCCGAAATTAAGTTGAACGAAAGAAGTTGGAAGATCACGTCAGGAAATATATCGTCTCACTGCCAAGATGTCTTCACCAGAGAATGCCTTCTTTTGGTTCTACAAAATGTCTCATCTGTTATAGTTCAGGGCCAGGATATGCAGTAAGTTTTATTTATATTCATGAAGCTGAAGGTTTTTTACTTCAGATTTTGCTCCAATCGTTTTTGGAAAATATACGGCCATATATGCCAATTTATACAGGGTCCCTGTTATGTATGGAAACGGTCGATTATTAGATAAAATATATAGGAGGTACCACAAGTTAAATATAAAAATTATAGGGTTTTTAAATGTCTATTGGCGAGTAATGAATTTATGTATACAGGATCGGTCATAAAGTCATGGCACATCAAAGTTTCATTTTTTTAAATAGAACCTCCTGTATATTATTGCATATTTCAATTCTTTGTTCAGTTCTAAGCAAAAATCGAAATACACACAATGTAGGTACCTCAAACCAACCGTTTCCGAGTTATTGACTTTTGAAAATATCATCATCTTAAACAAGTTGATTTAATTATTATCGATATGTTCAGTTTCATTTAACGATGCCATTCTGCTGAAACTGTGATTCTTAATAATATTTGACATTAGTTCTCAAGTTAACATTTATAGATGTATAAAATGAGATTATATCAAGTCTGGAAATTACAAAATTTTCGTTTAACATTTCAATTCTTCAATTTATGCACATTGTATATTACGATTATTGCATCAGACCGGTTCGGCCATCGAAGATATAGACGGCATCCACTACAAGAACTGTCCTGAAATCAAAACTATATTAGGTATTTATTTGAGATAGTCTGTACTTACTTTGCTATAAATATGGTAATTGTAAATCATACAGGATGTTCAAAATTCTACTCCAAACTTTCTAAAATATAAAATATTTTTTCTTCGTTTTTTTTCAAATGGAACACCCTGTATATTATTCTTTCAATAGATGGATAATTAAAAAATGAACATTTTTTTATATTTAAAGTATTTCAAAATTTTTAACGGTTTTGCAGATATTCGCGGTTTTATATTTGATATGGCATTTTTTACAGTAAATTTTTATCAAAGCCAACCAATGATTTTTCTCTCTTATTTTCAAAAAGCCGTTGAAAAATCCACATGAAATAATACTGAGTGTATCTGCGAAACCATTAAAAATGTTGAAATACTTATACAAAAAATACAGGGTCTGCAAGTAAATCTACAAAATAAAATAGAAATATATCTATGAAAATATGGGTGCTACTATTGGCCGCATAGTTTAGAAAATAAATTGGAGTAAAAAATGTATAACAGGAAAGCTGATTAAAGCTTTTTCCGCATACTGGATCATTCTATTGCCGGGTACACACGACAGGTATTTTTCGCAGATTTGTCCTCTCACCGATCAATCCCTCCTATTTCCGCACGTTAGCCCTCTGTAACGGCAGACACCGCTTAAATGTTAGATCCCTTGAAGGTTTTGTACCGACGTGAATATTGTTTTAAATATGTCTATTAATGTGCGCCGTGGGGTGAGATCATAGATTTAAATTAAAATTTTATTTTAAGTCTATGTGTGAGATCCTTTGCTTACGTGTTTTTCATATTTTTCATTAACTACTTGTTATTAAATATGGAGTGGACAAAAGAAACTTTGACTGAATTAATTGAAATGAACAAAGACCTTGTTTATGGAAAATAAGTGATATTTTTTAAAATCGTCCCACTCATTTTCTCAAAATTCACGAAGTGAATAACACGTGCCCATATTTTGTTTTTTTTTGGACCCAGATATTTTTTTCACAATTTCTAGCATACACAAACCCAATATGCCACTTTTTTCCTTCCCCATCCCGGGTCTTTTACCGAAAATCTGCCGATATTTATACGAGTATAAAATATTTAACCCGCTTTCTTCCTTCCAAAACAGCGGGACAGGATCTCATGTGTACCCGGCTATTGATAATAGTTATTGTTTATTTCATATTTACTATTTCATATCTAAGTTTCAGAATAATTGAAGTTCTCCTAGATTCAGCTAAACCAGATAATCACAACATTCGAACAAGCCATACCGTTGAAAAATGTGAATGTCCTCCAGAATATACTGGACTGTCCTGTCAAGACCCAAATGAAGGATACTATAGACATTTCCCTGGACCCTCAGAAATTACAGCAACGCCGTGGATAGATAGAACGATTGGTATCGCAAAACCGTGTGACTGTAGTGGACGATCAAATAAATGCAATCCATCTACAGGGCATTGCATTGTAAGTACTTTTTGGTATCTATGTGATCTTTTAAAGGTTATTGTATATTTCCTTTTAGAATTGCACCAACAACACCACTGGATCTCACTGTGAATTGTGCGCTTCAGGTTACTATAGTAGATCAAATGCCTGCTTGCCTTGCTTATGCCCATCGGAATTCTTAAATAACGCAAATAGTTGTTATCCTCATGGACACGGATTTGTATGCAACTGCAAAAAAGGTATCTGTTACTTTTATAAATATTTTAACATTTTTAACTTTATAAAATAGGTTATAGTGGCTCTAAATGTGATGTCTGTGAGGATGAATACTATAAAGATCAAATTTCTGGGAGATGTATCGCTTGTAACTGTCACGAATATGGAACACTATTTCCTCTATGTGATTCCAACGGTAAATGTCAATGTAAGCCTGGATTTCAAGGTGACAAGTGCAACCAATGTTCAAGTGCCAGGGAATACATTAAAAACGGAATATGCACACGTAAGTTTAATTTATTCTTAACCCTTAACTGCTGACATTATTATTTCTGTAATTTTAATGCTGACATAGAGTCTCACAGCTTAAGCAAAACTGGTTTTCTGTGGGTTTTGTGTTTTTTAATGTAAAACTACTATTCGTTTTTACTTTTTAAGGCATTGTTATACCATCATCATCATTTTCAGCTTATTCAACCATTTCCAATTATGATGTAGCCTCCCTCACATGTATCTCTATATATTGCTGGCTATGTGGGCCCAAGTTATCCCTGCTAATTTCCTAATATCATGATCCCATCACAGGTTTGGTCTTCTTCTAAGTCTCTTAATTCCTCGTGGGTACGATGCTGTAATTTTTTTGGTCCATCTGTTGTCCGTCCTTGCCAGGTCTCTTGCTCATTGCCACTTGAGGGATTTGATTCTGTAGATGACAGATGACATCTACTATTCTTTTACGGTTTTTCTTGGTTATTCCCAGCATATTTCGTTCCATTGAGTGTTGTGCAAATAGTTATATATGAAACATTTTATGGAAACTCCCCAATACAAGGAAAGTTAGAAAAACATTTTTTTGGTAACAAATGAACTCAAAATTCGATATGTTTGTTAAAGATTCCTAAATACAAACAGAAAACTGTTTGCACTTTCTTAAAAGATAACAAAACAAAAACTAAATACTAAACTGCAATATATTATATACAGCTCATTTGTGCACTGAGGTAAAAATTCATAATTTTAATTAATATTCACTAATCATTAGACAATAATTCTGACAACACTTATTTCTTTGAATACTTCAGGCAAATTATTTTTATACAAATGGAACGTACAAACGATGCCTTTTTTCTCGATTTTGATGCATATATATGTCTAGCTTTTATTGTGTCAGCTTCATTTTCTGTCTTCCACTGCTCCATGGTCGTTTCTTCAGTTTTCTCAGTCAATTTCTTTCTCATGATCGATTAATTGGTCGCCATGTCCCATTGTACCATTAGATATACACATTAATATCGATAAAATAATATATAGAAACGGTCGATTATTAGGTAAAATATACGAAGTACCGCAAAAAGTTAAATACAAAAGTTATAGGGTTTATAAATATCTATTAGCGTGTAATAAATTTAAGTATACAGGGTCGGTCATAAAGTCGTGGCACATCAAAGTTTCATTTTTTAAATGGAACCCCCTGTATATTATTGCATATACGAAGGTACATTGTGTATTTCGATTTTTGCTTAGAATTGAATGAAGAACCGAAATATGCAATAATATACAGGGGGTTCTATTTAAAAAATGAAACTTTGATGTGCCACGACTTTATGACCCACCCTGTATACTTAAATTTATTACCCGCTAATAGATATTTATAAACCCTATAACTTTTGTATTTAACTTTCTGCAGTACCTCCTATATTTTACCTAATAATCAACCGTTGCCATTTCCATACATAACAGCGACCCTGTATATATGTCATCAAAATATCGACTCGTTGAATGCACAGTCTTTCACTAATGCTGCCATCACCAATTCTACGTCAATATTTCGAAAATGAAAAATCGGTTCTCGTCACCTTTTCGATAGGTTAAAACATGGTAAAAATCAGGAAGGTACAGTACGTCTGTCCGTTCAGTAGCTACGGGGTATCCGTGAGAGAGGAAACAATATTCTCTCGATCTTTTTCGTAAAAAAATACACGACGCGTCCCATCAATAAAAATTCGACAAATTTGCAAGTAGCCAATAAAATGAGTGGGCGGAGCGATTTGCGGTGACACACTCGTCAAATCGACGTATAAAATATATCGCTGTTTATTTAAATGTTTTTGCCCGCATTCCTTTCATAGACACAGATCCAGCAGACGTACTATACATCGAGTAGCATGCCGCAGAAATAATAATTGTGGCGTTAGTAATCGTACGCTAAAGTGGCGGTAGAGTCTCTCAGACTCCATGCTAGCAGTTAAGGGTTGAAACTATTATTAAAAAATTAATAACTATTTATTTCAGCATGCGATGAATGTACACAGCTATTATTCCATGACATTGATCAGCTGAATGAGGATCTAGATTTTGCCTGGAAACTCTTCGAAGGAGGATTAGCACCGCCATGGAAAATTCTAAACGATATGAAGATGCGATATCAAAATTTATCTCATCACTTTCTAACCAAACAAAACCGAGCCAAAGAGTTATCAAACAAAAATGGAACTTTAATTGCCTTAGAAAATAAATTATTTAATATGGACCGTAGAGTTAAAAACTTAGATAACCTCGCTGAAATTAATCATAACGAAGTTGAGAAATATATTACCTCTTTGCAAACAATTAATGATGATTTGGAGAATCTCAAAAATAGATTAGAAAGCATTATCGTGAGTTTAGAGAACTTCGACAAACGTCATTTAAATGTAGAAAAAAGTCTTAAAAAGGCTCAAAGAATTTTGGAAAGTATTAAAAAATTGTTGTCTGTGGTAGAAAATTATGAAAAAAACGATAACAAAGTTTACCGTTATTGCGATGAAATAGACAGAAAAATTAACGAAGAATATTTTAAAGAACCAGCACAATTACCACATAATCAATTAAATGAGTTTGTTAAAAAGTTAAATGAAATTGAACAAATCACACAAGAAATAAACAATAAAATTGATACCACTCAAATTAAAAATGATAATAACTCAGACAGACTCTACCGTTTAAGAAAGTTGATTGAAACTTTAAATTCTTTACTCCAAAATCACGATAACAACATAAAAGATATCGAAGATAAGTTGGATTTAATAGAAAAATCTTACCAGAAAGCTGAGGATCTTTATGAGCAAATGAAAAATTTAAATTTAAGTGATTTTAATAAACTAAAACAAGAATTAGAGCAGTATGAAGAAGAAAGAGATACTTTAGAAGATTTGTTATTGAATGCTAACAAACACGCAGAGGAAATTGATAGAACTATAAATTGGTATAAAAGGTAAGTTATAAAAATTAACTAAATAATTTACTGTGTTTTGATATACCGGGTACGTCTCAAAAGTGGCTCACCCCCACTAACTTTTTTATTTTTTCAGTTGAAAAAACGAGATTTGGTATGTTAGTATATGACATAAATTAGGATTGGTTAACATATTCAATTGTTTTCGGTCACTTCCTGTGTCATCGGAAATGAATATAACTTTAGATTTTTAAATGGTACCCTCGGTATTTTTCACTTTTTTCGATTAAAAATGACACTTTAAATATAATGATATGTCATAATATGTCAACTATTGACATTCTTGCTTAAAAAAATCGTATTTTAAATTTCAATCTAGAGTGCCATGGCTGTGTTAAAAACAGTAATTTTTAATCAAGGAGCATTGGAAATTGGAAAAATATATTTGATCGTCTATTGCTTATCGTATCTTATCCTGGCCGGTTAAAAGATGCCCAAATGATATTTTTAATCAGATCTCAATTTTTTCAAATGGAACGAGAGTGGTTCATTAGCATATTTGGAACAGATTTTTTTAACGAATAATTTAGTACCACACACTTGGTATTTCGTGTTAAATCGCCGTGATGAACCGCATGTTATAATTTCAAACAAACCATATGCTAAAATGTCAAAAATTGACATATGATATGTCATTCTATTCAGAGTATCATTTCCTATCGAATAAAGTAAAAAAATACCGAGGGTGCCATTTAAAAATCAAAAGTTGTAGTCATTTCCGGTGAAACAGGAAGTGACCGAAAACAATTGAATACGTCAATCAATTCTAATTTATGTCATATACTAACATACCAAATCTCGTTTTTTATCTGAAAGAATAAAAAAGTTATAGGGGTGAGCCACTTTTTAGACGCACCCGGTATTTGGTACTATTGCTTACATATTATCATTTTTTTACCTGTTTCAACCTAAGGTTTCAACGAAAATAATAAAACAGTACAGAGGATTACTTTTGTATCATTCTTTTCTTTTTTAGTCTATTAAACTTTACCAAAGAGGAATGGAGAACTATTAATGCTAGTAGTGCCTATGAAGAAATAGTAAAAGGTATAAAGCAAGCTAAAGATGTAACCAATGAAGCTAAAGACATTCTAAATGAGGCTCTAGAAATAATAAATCCCAAAGATTCAGATTCGATAGGAACTAAAGCAAGCGTAGCCCATGCAAGTTCCGATAGACTCAAGCAAAGGATCATTAATTTAAAAAACATTTCAAATAGTAATAACGTTAAAATTTTTATGAAATAGATTTTATAGAATGAATTTTCAGGTCTCAATTCTGTTAAGAAGAAAATAGACGACTTTAAGTACAAGCTAATACAGAGTGGTAAATCTAATAACGAGCTAAACAAAATATTATTAAATTTGGAACATCAAATAACAAGGGGAGGGTACGTTGATGATCTTAATGAAGTTATTAAAAATGCTACTGAAATATCCGAAAACATGCAACTGGTCGATAAAGATATATACGATTTGTATCTTACCAGCCAGTATGGTATATTTAAGACCTACGAAATATATAAAAATCTTACCTCCGACGAGGAAGCGAATAAAGTTAAAGAAGAGATGCGTAAAACCCGGGAGAAGTTGCAAGATATCTATAGAATTTTAGAAGATCGATCAACGGATGCAGGCAAAGAGAAACAATCTCCGGAATTGGACAATATAGCTGCAAAAATAAAAGAACTACAGAACTCTGTTTTATATGCAAAGCAAATGGCTGAATCAGTAAGTAAAATATTATTTGGGTCAGTAGTAGAACTTAGTAGTAACTTAGAAGTAGTCTTCCGAATTCGGAACATGTTATATTGAGTTGAAATCTCGATATTTTGCCCTCCTTTATAAGGATCATTTTCAGAACAGTTGAAGAATCTTGCCACTCCTTTCTTTTGGAAGTGTAGGTATATCAAATTCGATGTCCGTGAGGAAGTTTGTATATGTCGCAGGCGTATCGAATAATTCGGCATTTTGCAAAAAGACTAGGCATATTATAAAACGCCGGCATTATAAACACAAGAAGGAAATTTTATAGAGCCTACTTGATTTCATTCTTCAAAATGCCTAATGAAGACTAGTCAGATTGCAAACATTTTACGCGAGATTGGTTTAACTAACCTAAATTTATCCAAGGAAAATTTCTTAAAGAAATCTTGTGTTCCATAAATGTTCTTGTAAGTCTGCGGAAAAACAATGTAATACAAATAGGTGCTGCAATACTTTGTACCTATCTCCTAATAAACTGAGTAGTTTTCTACAGTGAAGAATCGTTATAGACGTGCTTTTCGTTGCCTCAAGCGCTTTTAACACGGCTTGTCTCTCCAGTGCATTGCCGTGCTATCAGCAGATGCACACAGGTTTCAATAGCATATAAGTCAGCTTGGAAAATTGTGGTGTGTTTCACAAAACTGTTTCCGGAATTGGACATCTCTGTCTTTGGTCTGCTGCAATAAATTCGAGCGCCAGATCCTTTTTCGTTCTTGGATTCGTCAGTGTACCAACATATTTCCGCATGTAATAAACCGTTTCTCAGCTTATCCCATTCGTCCCTATTCAGAAACAGGACGTTATAGTTGCGTATCAAGAATTGGTCTTGTTGGTTGTCTTTATGCCACCAGGCAAATACACCATACGTTATTATAGGTCTGATGACTGTCACGTGTAGCTAGCTCCCCAGAATCTGCCGCGTACATAACATGCCTTTTTTGAGTTTTTTTTGTAGATGGGAGTTTCAATTAACTTCCTCCGCAAACGGAATTGTCTCGCCAAGAAGAGTGGGGGGTTTCAGTTTGTCAATTTTTTCTTTTCTGGTGAATGGTATGATCACGGTTTTCTGTGAGTTTACACTTCAGTATGTTCAGTAGCAGTACACTTCAGTTCTGCGTTCTTTCAGTATGCACCGAATCATGTATCCCGAAGGAAGACCCGTCCGGCATCGTTATATATCTGCAATCCGGAGTTTAACCATAGTTATTTTATTGCAAATAACTAATCTTCATACAATTTTATGATACCCGTATTTTTTTATTTTATTTCAATTTCATCCCATTTTTTTAAAAAAAATAATCAATATTAAGAATTACAAATTTACACTTTTGCAATCTCTGACGTCACCTATCAAAAGTGTCACGGTTTGCCACCAGGTGCAAAGGTAAATAAAAACTATTTTTCTAAATGTATTTTAAAGTAGATATAAAATTAATTGTAAAATAAAACTTAAGGAACTTACGTTAAAATAATCTTCACAGCAAAATCTCGTAGTTTTGCTGACATATTGTTGTCTTGCCACTTCAAAACAGGCTCTTCGACGGCTTTCATCCAAAGGAACAGTTATAAAAACTTTTTCTGGAGAGCCTTTAGAGTTATTTAGACAGCCCTTCGCAAAACAAACTTTAACACCCTTCATTGCAAAAATAATAAAGAGGGTAAAATAAAACAAAATTGAAAACTCAACATATTTAACGCCAAACGCAAAATCCACAAAATAAAAATCTAACCTCGAACCCTTGAACCTCGAACGCCTCGAATATCCGAATATCCGAACAACTTTGGTAGTGTTTAGTGCTTCGATAAAAATGGCAGTAACCTGTTAATTATAAAAATTTACGTTTTAATTTCTAGTAGTAAAAAATATAAAACTAAATTTAATATTGGGGTAATAAAGAATAATCCCACATAAAACGTATTTTTTAACGATCTTAATAAAAATAGAAAAATCTAACGTGATTTTAAGATATATGGTGTAAATACGGTAGCAGAGAACTAGACACGCCATAATATTATTTTTCAGGGGCTCGCGCCCTCTGTCAACTATTCAATCAAATGCTGATAGGTGACGTCACAATTTTCTACGCGTCATTTCAAACCAGTGAAATTTGTATTGAATTTGATTTAATATTTATTTCTTAATTGTAACTTCGTTGCATTTCTTTTTGTATTGAAGAAGTACTTTTTAATCACTTCAATTGAATTTTATATTAAAAATAACAAAAATTTACTAGGGTTAAACACCGGATTCCCTGGCCACGACACTACAGGTACGGACAAGACAGTGGGATGCTCCGTGGACCCAGCGAAAACGCCAGAGGGCACACCGTCCAAAGTCTATATATTACAATAAGACCGCTCACTCCTTTGATCCCCTCGAAACGCCGACTTTTTTTCGACTGGTTGTAAATACGTACACACAACGTTCGATTCCCAGTCCTGACTGGCGCGACAAAGGAGCTTTACGATACGGGGTGTGGAGTCCGTAGGAGGATTTTCGTCCAGCCGAGCAACTGGTCGGGCTTATTGTAATATATCATATATAGACTTTGCCCCGGCTAGGAGCCCCCCCCCCCCTAACAAGATCTCGCATCTCATAGGGGGAGATTATTTGAACAATACCTACATATTGAACGGTGCAACCCAACACCGGTTTGCAAATACAACACCGGTGTCGATGTCGAAACCGGTACACCAACTGAAAACCCGGTTGTCGATTCTCAAATCTCAGCACCGAACAGGCCTAAGTATAACGTCGAGTTTTCAACTCAATATGAAATGATCCGAATCCTGAAAATTACTTTATTTATAGAAACCTGATGTAAAATACTACTTTCACAATATTTCGATATCTTTGTGTAAATGTTTACCTCCATATTCTTTCAGGTGGATGTTGCCGTATCTCTCTCCAATTGTTCCATGTTCTATTCCGTTCCTCATTCAGAAATCTTCCAAAGTTTGGCAATAACCTTCAACTGCGACGAATGCCAACTTTTCCGCTGGAACACGTCAGGTGATCTTTTGAATCTGCGCATCGTGAAAGGCAAAGCGGTACTCGCCTTGGGCAACAACGAATTCATCCGAACAGAACAAAAATTAAATAATTCGATGGAAACGACGGTGTTTGTTTCCAGAAGCGGTCAACTGATCCAGATCAAATTCGACAACGAACTATCCTGGAGATGGAAGAAAATCGGAAATAGATTTTTGACGATGGACCCGAACGACGTTATTGAGTTTGGAGATGCAAAAACAGCTTCCAATCCGTCATACATCTATAAACTATCTATTAACGATCATAATGTGGGACTTTGGAATTTAATCAATTCTTCGAATGGTTGCCAGGGACACGATAGGTAATAAATAAAATTAATTTCGAAATAGGGTACTCAGTAAAGGAGAGATATAAGGCCCTTGGCCTTCAATTATCACTCCAATCTTTAGGCAATTATTAGTCTAGAATGTAGAATGTTTGGGAGGGGGTTAATCACCGATTACAAATCTATTATGTGTTTCCCTTTCTTCAGTTATAACTCATCATACAGTCCCAGGGCTTTGACAAAAGCCGGTATCTGAGTTCATAGAAGTTCCATTTTCGATATCAGTCGTACCAAAGTTTATAGCATGAATGGTTGTCCTCTCGGCGCCGCGCCGCGCCGGCGCACTCAATAATGAGTTATTCTGGTGTATCCTCATTTTTCCCACAGAATCTGCATTTGCCATTGCTTAATACCGAAGATTATTCTTGCTTAAATCAAGGAAAATATTTGATTTTTCTCGGTCGTAAGTTCTGAGAAATTTCTTCGAGTTAGAGGAGACCGTTAGAGGATTCCCATTCCAAGTTACAGATGGAGTCTTCCAGTTCATGAGTTCCGCTTTAAGTTGATTTCCACTTGAGAAGCAGAACGGTTCTAGTCCAATTATTGGACTTTTCACTCCTTTTCCAGGTAGATCGTTTGCTTTTTCATTACCTTCTATCCCTTGGTGAGCTGGCAGCCAGAGTAGGAGGACTTTATTTTTTTTGCTTAATTTTTTTAACTCTTCTAGACATTCTTTGGCCAACTTCGAATGGATGGTTACTGGGTTGATCGCTTTTAGTGCTGCTTGATTATCGGATAGGATGACTATTACCTGTTTCCGACAGTTCCTATATAAGATATGTTGTACTCATCCTTCGATAGCGTAGATTTCTACCTGAAGGATGCTGGGATAGGTGCCCATTAGTACGGAGAATTTAGTTTTCGGTCTAAATGCTTCTAACTCTGTCCTTGCTTTGGTTTTGGAAGCATCAGTATACCACGTTATGGTATGGTCTATTTATTTTTTGTGGTAGGCCTGCTGAGTAAACGTTTCTCTCTTCCAATTCTTTTTATTGGTCAATACTACAATGAGGTGTTTCTCAAGGTTGTACATTCTTAGTATGTTATCCACTGGGAGTTGGAGGAATGGAATTTCCCTTTTGAGGATATTCTAAGCTGAACTGAAAAATTATAAGTCTAGGTAGAACAATATATTAATTAATTTATTATATTTTTAACAACAATATTCTTCACACTGCTTCAAACATTTTAAGATAACGAATTAAATGCCAGTTATTTTAAGTTGAATTAAATACTAAGAAAGAGTTTTTTTAATTCATATAAGTTATGATACCTTCATTGTATTTATTAAAATTGTCTTTATTAATTTTTAAATATTAAATTCAATGACGTTTTAAGTTTCCAGTCATGAATTTTATTAATCAAAACTTTATCGCAAAACCACTAACGGAGGACGTTTAGGAATCAAAACTTTGTATTAAAAGCATGTATAATGAATCTGTTCACAGACTATCATAAATATGCGTCATACAAGTATGCCGGTCTGGTACAACTCAAGTAAGGGGGGCAGAATAGATCTATAAGGTCGTGGTGATTAACATTCCCCTCCTATACAATCTACTTACTGCCATTACTCGCTGAGGAGTATTTGCACGCATCAAAAGCATGCATCTCCTTTAAGTTTTCGTGGAAAATATTCTTGTACCTTTTGAGTTGTCCATTCGGCTTCCTCTTACCGTCTACAAGCTCACCGTAAAAAAGAGATTTCGGTAGGCGGTTTTCTTGCATCCTGCATACGTCACCAGCCCATCTTAAGTGGGATTTAGTAATCATAACTTCAGCGCTCTCGCAGCTAGCTTTTTCAAGGACCGATACGTTTGATATATGGTGGTACCATTTGATTCTTAACAGTTGTCTAAAATGTCTCTGTTGCAACTTGTTTAATGCGTTCATGTTCCGACAGTACGGCACCCAGGTTCTGCTTCCATATAACATGGTGGGTATTATTATTGCTCGTTTTACACAAGTTTCGTTTTTGTGCTCAAGTCATGATTGTAGAAAACCCTGTCTTTTAATTTCCAGAATGCTCTTGAAGAATGCTCTTGTACGATCTACAATGCCGGCCTGTTGGCAGCTACATATTTGACAAACTCATATAATAATAATTAATGCATTGTTTTCAATAAATAAAATGATATATGATAACAAATTACAAAAATATATATTTATGAGAGGCAACAGCAGTTTTCTGAAAAATATCTAAACACTGTTTTGGCCTACAAACTAACATTAGAAACTAAATTTAACGATTCAAGTCATAGAGTATATATGGCACTCAAGATACAATTCTGTTGTCATACTTGAATAGCCCACATGTCGACTCACATATTATATGACTCGTATGTATAGGGGTCTATGGACAAGTAAAAATTAAGTCCATACAGGTATATGAAACAATTTGTTAAAATTTAAACAACATTTTTAAAATGTAAGAGTTTTAGTTTCATAAACTACCAGATGATTAACAAGACTTAATGGATCATTAATAGTGTCATATTTTATTACAGAGTAAACGCTCAAGACTTTGATACGGCCAAGTCCTTCTACATCGGTAACGGATATAAAATGCTTGCCATTAACCCAGCTGTTCGACCAGATAAATTCAATTTAAGATTCGATTTTGCTACTTTTGACGAACACAGTCTCATTTATCTCGCTCAGGATACAGAGGTAAAATTTTAAAAAGTATATATTTAAATTTAACTAATAACTCTCAATTTTGCTTCAGAATCCTTGTTCCTTTATTTCCCTCACATTAGACGACGGCTATTTGAAGCTAGATATTCGACATAAGAACGGCCATAGAGTTTCACTAAGGACAGCCGAAAAATACAACGATGGTAGTGATCACTTCGTAGAACTAACAATGATTTTGGTGGACAGGAAGTGGCAGAACTATAACTTGAAAACGGAGAAAGAAACAGAAACCAAAGAGAATATGCTGGCATCTAACGCAGTATTTCGACTGAAGAAATCGCAACACTATGTAGGTGGAATATCACCTACATTAAACAAATCATGCATTGATGTTTCCACTATATCTTTTGTTGGATTATTAAGTGAGGACAGTCAGCTGAGTGATGAGTCGCTATCGACGGGTGTAATAAAGAAATTTGGTACTGGACAGGTGAGAAGAAAATTCTTTTTTAGGGTTGTGTACCTCAGAAGGAAAAAATGGAACCCTTTTAGGATCGCTTTTTTATCAGTCTGTCTGATGCTTGAAATTAAAACGGTATACCCAGCAGGGTTCGGAAAACTACATGTTACTTTTAAAAACTACATAAACTACATTACATGTAGTTAATGTAGTTTATGTAGAGGGTGTAATTTATGTAACCTATGTATGCAACTTTCAAATGTCAAAGGTTTGAGTTGAGGTTATAATAAGTTGAAGCTTTAAAAACACATAATGTATTTAAGAAAACAGGAGAACTGTGGCTTTAAATATAATATTTACATCATATTATCTCTATTACACCTCATACAAAGGAACTTTATTCATAATATCAATACATAGTTTATTAACGTAGTCATTTCATGTAGTTAATGAACGGGAAAAGACGTAGTTTTTGAAGAAAAACTACACGTAGTTAATAATAGTAATCGGTCTTTTCTCGTTCATTAACTACATCAAAACTACGTTAATAAACTACCTATTCATATTATGAATAATTTTGCTTTGTATGAGGAGTCTAAATAATATGATGTTAATTGTTATAGCCATATTTCCACATTTCTTCTGTTTTCTTAATTTTCAAGTTAATTTAATAATAAATTTAATTTTAAATTATTAATTTTCTTAATTTTCATATTTCTTCTGTTTTCTTAAATACATTATGTGTTTTCTAAAGCTTCAACTTATTATAACCTCACCCCAAATCTTTGATATTTGAAAGTTACATACATATGTTACATAATCTACACCCTCTACATAAACTACATTAACTACATATAATGTGGTTTATGTAGTTTTTAAAAGTAATATGTAGTTTTCCGAATCCTGCACAGGTCTCTTGAAGCTGTGAAAAAATCAAACTTCTAAGTTAACGTAAAAGAAAGATACGGCTGTTTATGCCGCAAGAAAACGTATATTTCGACACTTTCAAGGGAATCAAAATTTATAGGATATTTTTTGTTGAACTAGAACTATGAAATTTGGCAAGTAATACTGTCTTCTCCGACGGTGCTGCCACCATTGGAGGTCTCGTAGCAATTATACGAAAAAAAGTTTATATAATTATTCTAAAAGTGTTAGGAACTATAATTTGTGAAAATTCGAAAACAAAAATAATAGTAAATATTTTGATATCTTCAGAAGGTCTAACTTGTATTATAATTTGTTATTCAAGATAATAAAGGTTTTTAGATGAGTTCAACTACGGTAGCGAGCATAGTTCTACGCACCGGTTTTGTTAATAGGGACATAACTTGGGCTATTTCGACCATAACAAAAAATTTTAAAGGTATATAATTATAATTTTAGGAGATATTCATAAAAAATTTAAACACTAGTTCATTAAAAAGAGTATACCATTAATATTGCAAATTATATTTTATCCTCCCATAGTATATGTCTAATGTCTATTTAATTTTTTTATTATATAATGGGCACTTTGTTTACTTACTTGTTTCGTCGAATTGCTTGAATCCATTTTTGCTTTTCATCAAATCGGTGTGTGAAGCTGTAGAGCTATAAATGTTGTTTTGGTAGAGTTGAATATCCGGGAAAATGGAGTTATTGAATGTTATTGCACCCAACAACACCCTAATTACTCCCTCCTTTACGCATTAACATTTTTCGGCAATTTTATTAACATTTGAAATTTTCACAACACAACACGACCCCTAGTTCGGGTTCTTTTTCACTTAATTTTTACCACCCAAAACAGCATTGCATCACACATACCTCGTACCTGAGTGTTTTATTTTTCAATAACTGCACTAGTAAAAAATCAGATACTTAAATATTATGACAAAGTCACGATTGTAATATTATTTCAATGGGATCGACATAAACGGTAACGGGACTGCGTAAAATGCTTTATACCCGGCACTTCGAATTTCTGCCGTATAGAGTGCTGCGGTCGGAATTTTTAAAATAAACTGAAATCCAACAAGCCTATACTTTCGTGACGGATTCTTCTAAATGGTAATAATAAATATGTCGAAATCTACGAAATGAATGCGTCATATGCCTTGAATATATTTTTTTTCTTATTATTTACAACGTAGTCTCGATGTCTTAATGCAAATCGACTGCATAAAACAAAATTGTTATAAATAATAGAATAACAGTCTTTAAATAGATATATATTGTTTTAGTTGGAACTGGAAAAAGCCTGGTTTAATGGAAACGGTTCTTTAATTCTAAATTTCCCTATCACTTCCGCAAAAGGTGATCCAAAGCTCAATAATATCGGATTCACACTTCGTCCGTTGAGCGACACATCGGCTCTTATCGACGTTAATAAAGTGTGCATCATAGCTTTAAAAAATAAGCTTATTCAGATAGATCTGCTCAACGAAGGTCCCTACGAAATCAACAAATCGCTAAACATTAACGACTATAACTGGATATCCATAACTTTGAAAAAAGACAAGATTAACGTTTTAATAAACGGAGAAGAATTTATTGTGCCCAGAAGCAAAACGGAAAGACTTCCTGAACAGAAGACAGTTCAAGTAATATTGGGAGATGCACCAGGTCATAATAAGTTTTCAGGCAGTATCAGAGATCTTCTAGTAAATGATGAGTAAGTTTACCTTTAAATAAAAAGATTAAGGAAGGAGCAGTGGCGGATATAGAGGGGGCGCCCACGGGTCCAAGGCCCTCCCCCTAAAATCTATAAACTGGGTTAAAAATGGCACTCTGAAAAGTATATTCTACGTAACTTTTTATTTGCCTCCCCCCCTAAAATAAATTCCATCCGCCCCTGGGAAGGAGCATATCAAAAAACTTAGGTGAAGCGCGATGGAGACCTAAAATGACAGTCTTAAATTCCGGTTCATCAGTGTCGTTCTAAGTTTATTCAAAACTTGTAAAAATATAATGTAGGGTAGACTCAATAAATTGTTGTTTTATTTTACGTTGTCAATAAATATTAGTATATAGTTACTATTAAAATTTTTATTAAAATATATATTTCCAATTAAAATACATAAGAAATAATAATAATTTAATAAGACAAATATCAGAAGTGCTATTGAATCCCATAAGTCAAATTGATGCCACCAAGCAAAAAACCTCACATTACATTTGCAACATTGCAGTCAATCGATGTATCTAAATTATTTTTAATAAGTAGTAAATAAAAGCGAAAATGTAAGAAAAAATATATAATTAGTTAATTCTAATTGAATTTCATACATGAGGGGTTTAATACACATACGTCATACGTATATTAAACAGATTTGGTCATCGTAGAAGCGTGGTCTGGATTTTAACGTGTAAGACAATGACGGAGACAGTTTAATGAAAAATCAAATGTATTAAAAAGAGAAAAACATTTGGGTTGATACACTTCTTTTATGCTGTATTGCCAGATTTTTATGTCAAAATTTCAAATCGTAAAATTAAGCGTTTACGAAAAATGTTGCATCTCGAGTTGGATCTTTAATTTCCAAAATTAGTTACTCATTTTACTACAGCTGTAATAGATGCTTATTAAGTCTCGGTCTCAGAAGTATGTTGTGTCATTGGCGAAAAAACTACCAACACAATCGTAGTTGTTAGTTTAGTACCGTAGTAACTAAACTCAAAATTGACTACCGTTTGAATTTAGTCCAAATTTTATTGGTTTGATGTATTTTATTTTAAGTCTATGGTTTGATGTCTTGTAGCCCGTGACAGTGCATAGTTTTAGAACGAAACTTACACCTTAAAATACAATTACTAGCTTATTTCTGTGGTTGTTTCTAAAGTGTAACTGCAGATATTTTATACCATGTTACCAAGCAGAAATGAGCAGTATTAAATAGCTTAGATATATTATCTTCTTTATTTTGTTATTTCACGTACAAACCGGCAACACTGTTTGCCGGTTTTTATTTTGTCTCTCTGTCTGTCAATTGGTAGTATATATTTATCTCTGTCGTATGCATTAACATACAGACCACGGAAATAAAGTGACCCGGGCTAGTATAATCACTTACCAGTGAAGGTTATTCGATTATTTCACTCGAATTTTGACAGAGATCTACCGCACGCTACACAATTTACACAATTTTACACGCTACTATTTTACAGTCTTTTTCGATAAATTGCAATAGTGTTCAATGTTAATTTAGTTGTGACAAAATTTCCTCCTAGATTTACTACCTCTAAACAAACCCAATTAGAATAGGTTCAGTAAAGAAAGACAAACAAATCCACAAAATTTCAAATCAAATTCACATATTTTAGTTAAAACGTCAACTGTCAAGGATGGGGACCTATAATGTAAATTCCGTCCACCATGCATGAATCCATGCCATCCACCATTCGTAGATAGTATTATAGTCCTTCCTTAATCTTTTTATTCTAAGAAGTTTATTAAATACATAAAATCATGTAGTTTCATTCATTTCATCATTCATTATTTTTTTTCAGAAAAATTTTATTTAGCTCAGACACAGTAGAATCCTTCCACAATGTAAAACTTGGCAGAGAGGAACAGCTAATAAGTAACAAAATTGTTAAGTATAAAATTAAAGATCTCCCCAGTTCAACTACTGTCAACATAATGCAAAGCACGGAAAGGCGCCCACCACCTTCGGCGTATAATATCGAACCATTCGCTATTAGTCTGGGTGACCAAGCAGAAAGTTATATCCAGGTTCAGAATAACTTCTGGAAACGAGATTTTGTTTTGGAATTTGAGTTCAGAACTTTCGAACCGAATGGAATGATTTTCGTTTCTGCTGTAAGTATGATTTTTCTTTTATATTAAAAATTAGACAATGAATGTATTTTAAGTTAGTATATTTATTTTAATACGTTTCAATCGATATCAATAATTCAGAGATTCAGTACAGACACTATTTTTTTTCTAACAAGACTGCTTTCAAAGCTAATCAGTTATGATCGTCAACTAAAAATGAAGAGATCTCTTTTGAAAATAACCATCAGCGACAAGACAGATTTAAAAGTTCGGACATTCCTAAAGACTTTCAATATAATAATTTAAAAATAAAGTATTCTAAATACCAGTAAAACAACATAAATTTTTCTTTGTGAAGATTAATTTAGCAAAATAAAACACTAATTCACCACAATACACCAAAATATATACTTTACTTTTGCACTTGACGCGCGTTTTTCCTAACCGTGTTAGCATCATCAGCGGATGATTATAACTAAACTAATATCTACAATTGGGCGTCCGGATTGCACAACGACCTTAGTACGTGGCCGCGGGCAGCCCAGTAGGCAAGCGAGACAGCGACGCGACGCGTTGTTTCGCGCCGATTTAACAAAATAAATAATTTTAAACCTGCCGTCATTTCGTTAATAATTATCGTATCGTGTTGATTTTTGCATAGAAATACTCATGAGTCTTTAGCGCTTCCGACAAGCCTAAATAACTAGATTATTTTTTATATTTTCGATTTTTTTACATTGCCCGAGCATATTATAACTTTGAGATAAAAATCTCTATTATAAATTTTAAAACTGAGAGATATGAATACTATCATTTAATTAGTTATACATTTAGTTACAACATATTTAAAATTTAGGTCTATCGGTTTATGCTAGCAGTAATAACGAGGAAAATAAAAAAAAATAAAAAAAATGGTCAATACAACGCTCGCCGTTTTTAACGCACATTCAGCTTGGGTTTTAGTTTTAGCGCTATTTTTACAAAAAATAAATTCTGTACTTTGATCAAATGCCAAGAACATTATCATTGCCGATATCTCCTGGTTATAATGTAGTTCTTTTTTCAAAATATTGCATTGTTTTAGTTAAAAAAACTTGAATTATGCGGCTTTTTTGCGAGAGCTACCGGCGTTGCGCTAATAAAGAGATGGCTATGTACGTAAATCAACACATAAACAGATATTTTGATAAGTTAATTGACCTGACTGCTATGAGTATGGTCAAAATTCCGTCATTTGATTTTGGAATTAAACTATTTTATAACAATATTATTCAACAATTAAAAAGAGAATTTTGCGCTCTAATGTAAATATGTAAAAAATATACAGATTGTACTGACTATTTCTTTATTGTCTGGTATATACAGCTTTCAAACACTTTAAATTATTTATAATATTTACGAGCAAGAGTAAAACAGGATCTATTATTTACTTAACTATGTTTGCTAAAATTTTAAAATAATATTTAAAAAATCCATTCATATTGTTATAGGGAAGTACCAGTCAACCTCACTACAATCTCCTGGAACTTAAAAACGGTCTGGTACAATTTGTTGTGCGGGGAAAAAGGAAAACGATAAAGAATTGGCCAATCACCTTTGTAAAGGAAGTGAATGATGGCGATTGGCATCATATCAAAATCACAAAGAAAAATGGCAAGAAGTTACAAGTATCACTAGATGGGGAATCCAAAAAACCAGTCAGAATACCGAAAACAATAGTAAGAAATGAAATATTCTTTGGCAGTGTTCCAAATGGTTACATTGAAAATAAAGAATTGGTAAAGTATTTATACAATGCGTGATATAATTTTTATATAAATTGGGAAATTTTCTTGTAGAAGGGGAAACTCCGACCATTCAGAGGATGTTTACGAAATTTGCGAATCAATAATGAAACGAAATTAAATCAGAAGAGTGGTAAAGATATCCTTTCTAACAATATTAGACAATGTTTCCCCCGAATAGAGGAAGGAGGCTATTTTGGTGGAGACGCTTATGCAATTTATAGTAAGTATAGTAAATAATAATTATATATCTTTGTCGTAAATTAATTGTTGTTATACTACTCAATGGCTCTTTACTCATACACAGATTTCCTTAACCAATAAACAATATCTTTCAGTATTTAACCATTCATCTGAAGCCGAGAGTATATCTGGCAGATGTTACCATATATATCTTTGCAGGCGTTCGCGTTCGTTACATTCGTCGCAATTTGCACCATTTCTACCTACTCGCGTCTAGTAGCGTTGAAAGAACTACTTTCTTTCACTAACACTTCCACCATTCCAATTGTTTCCACTTTCTGCTTCCTGGATGATTACGAATACATCTACATAGCAACCATAGACTAATCTCGTGTACTAGAGATAGATTGGACCCCTATCGAGAGATAGATCGGAGATCCTTATAAAATATAAAATAATAAATATAGAGTTTTTTACTACATTTTAAGTTTTATTAGATCATTAGAAGTGTAACATCGTCAAAACAAAATATGAATACATTCATTTTAAACACCAACAATAGAGCACATAACGCCTATTTTTTGATTTAACAATTTGTTTTTCTTATGTATAGAATGTAGAATGTTTAGGAGGGGAGTTAATCACCACGACCTTACAGATCTATTATGTGTTCCCCTTTCTTGAGTTATAACGAGTTATAACTCATCATACAATCTCGGGGCTGTAACAAAAGCCAGTATCTGAGATGGCTCCACAGAGGCCAGCTCTCCGTCCTCGACATCAGCCGTACCAAAGTTCATGACATGAATAGTCGTCGTCTCGGCGGCGGCGCACTCAGTGATAAGGTGTTCTGGTGTTTCCCCATTTTCCCCACATAATCTGCATTCGCCATTGTTTCTCAGCTTCAGCCTACTGATGTGTGCGTTAAGGAGACCAGTGTCCTGTTAGAAACCCCATGGACAATCCGAAGATTATTTTTACTTAAATCAAGGAACCCCGATTTTTCTCGGTCGTAAGTTCTGAGGAACTTTTTCGAGTGTCTTAGACCGTTGGAGAACACCCATTCCAGGTTACGGATGGAGTGTTCCAAATTCTTCAGTTCCGCTTTCAGTTGGTTCCCGCTTGGAAAACAGAATGGTTCTGGTCCAGTTAGTGGAGTGTTCGCTCCTTTTCAAATTCAAATTCAAATTCAAATTTCTTTATTAGGCCCCATTAAGTTTTACAGAATAATATTAGTATTAATAAATGTGTGTCTAAAGGGATCGCACCGCGATTAAAAAACCGATACAATGGCACAAAGTGCCAGAGTGGTGCGACCCCAAATACAAAATAGAAATAAATTAAATTATAAAAATAAACAGAATTAAAAAAATTAAAATTATACAAAAAAAAGTGAAAATATAATTTTATCAGGGATGAGCGGAGATAAGCAGAGAGGCATAATGAAACAGTGTAAAAACCGGAACAGCAACCAATGACGGGCATGTCAGAAGAACAAGATCTCACAAATCAGTCGAAGAAATTATAATATTTACGAATTTAGTAAATGATTTTTAATTTGTTTTTTATAATCTGTAAAGGATTGAAATTTAAAGTTATTAGAAATATTATTCCACAAATGTGGCGCTATGAAACTGAAAGATTTTTGGAAGTTAGCTGTTCGGTGTTGAGGAATTTTAAAATAATGCACTTGTCTAGTCGAATGATCATGGTCAACGTAGTGAAACAATGAGAACAAATAAGGAGGCTGCTCTGTAGTTAAAATTCGATAAATGATGTCATTAAATGAAATTGTCGTCTTTTAGTGATGGATAAAATAGATAAATTTTCAAGATGTGGCGTTATATATTCTCTAAAAGGAATGTTAAAAGAAAACCGTAGACACGAGTTTTGAAGTATTTGGATTTTTCTAGAGAATCTAGCGTTTATGGATGTACCATAAACAACATCGCCGTAATCAAATAAAGATAAAATAAGTGTGGCACATAATTGATATTTAGTCTTTCATGGTATATATTTCTTAAGAGACGAAAAATTCTTCAACCGTATATAAGCAGCCTTTAATTTAGTAGTTATATGTGCCTGAAAAGAAAGCTTCGCATCAAAATAGACTCCAAGATTTTTAGTCTCTGTAACAATGGGTATCGCAACATTATCTATATGGATATTCATGTTACCAGCCGTATTTGTAATTTTGTTTATATCACTACCAAATACTATAACACAAGATTTACCTTCATTTAATTTCAAATTATGATCCAGAGCATATTTATTAATTTTATTAAGATCGTCGTTAAAATTTAACTGAAATTGTGCCAAATTATTAGTATCTATTTTGCAATAAATTTGAGAATCATCTGCATATTGCTGCAATTTAGAAAACTGTAATTCCTTATCCATATCAGCTACATATAATATGTACATATTAACATATATGCTTTTCTAGCTAGATCATTTGCTTTTTCATTGCCTTCTATCTCTTGGTGAACCCAGAGTAGGAGGACTTTATTTTCTTTACCTAATTTGTTGAGCTTCTCTGGGCATTCTTTGACCAACTTCGAATTGATGGTTACTGAGTTGATCGCGTTTAGTGCTGCTGGACTATCGGATAGGATGGCAATTTCCTATTTTCGATAGTTCCTATATCTAGGATAAATTGTACGCATCTTTCGATAGCGTAAATTTCTGCCTGAAGGATGCTGGGGTAGGTGCCCATTGGTTCGGAGTATTTAGTTTCGGCCTAAATACTCCTATCCCTGTCCCTACTTTGGTTTTGGAAGCATCAGTATACCACGTTATGGTATTGTCTTTTACATGCTGAGCAAGCGTTTCTTCCTTCCAATGCTTTTTATTACTGAATACTACAGTGGGATGTTTCTCAACGTTGTAAATTCTTGGTATGTCATCCACTGGGATTTGGAGAAGTGGAATTTTCTTTTTGAGGATGTTCCAAGCCCCTGACCTGAAAATTCTCCGAGTACTGTTTTTGTCAATGACGTATGAAAATGTATGAGACCGAGCCTTTTAGTCTTTTTTCTTCTTTTTAATGTATAAAAATAACGTTTTCATTTGAATATATATTTTTTATTTTTTTTTAATTATAGAAAGAGGTTTCCGCATCGACAAGCAACTGGAACTAAATTTCGAATTCCGTACAACCGAACTAAACGGAATTTTATTAACTATTTCTGAAGCAGACGACTACCCCGCGCTTTATGTAGAGCTTCATGACGGTTCTGTTATCATGACTGTCAATTTGGGAAATGGCATCGAAACGAGTGTCACCAATGGGCTGGTTTCGGACCTGTGCAATAATATGTGGCACCAAGTGACGGCCCTATATTCAAGTTCGGACTTGACAGTTATCGTTGATGGCGTCATAAAGAGCTGGGTTCTGAGTGACGCTTATTCAATCGTGGAGGAGATGGTGGCGCCCCTATACATTGGAGGACTACCAGGTGAGTGGGATTTTCTAGAGTTTATTTTGAATTGGAAAAAAATATGATTATTAAAAGAATATAATTAGAATTAGAATCAAACTTTTTAGAATTCGTTAAGAAAGTACAGGTTCACCGAAAATGCTTTGTATTAGGTTGTCTATTTATGATCTTTTCTGTATTATTTAAAAATATTTTTACAGATATACAGAGTGATTCAAATACCTACTACATCTTTAAATTAAATGGAATGATATCTTTATCATATATTTTTTCATTTTTCTTTTCTGTAGAATATTCCTTCAAAAAGCAAATTATAGGGTTTTTAATTAAGTTTTATTACTTATTGGAAAAATGTCACAGGAATTGGTATAAAGTATTTTTTAGTGGAACTCCCTGTATATTAGAAGTGTCTTCCGTAGTACATTTTTTTCTGATTTCAAAAATTTATCACTCATACTTTTCTTGCTAATATAATTTTATTTAAATTTTATATAAGTGTAAAAATAGAATACAGGGTGGTCCGAATTGTATTCAAACTTCGGCAGCATATTTTTAAGATAAAAATAAGTTCGAATAAATGTATGTCACAAAATGATGCGTTCCGAAGATACAGGGTGTAGAAGTGTTAGTTTTATTTCGATTTTATCCAAATAATTTCTGAACTAATGTCGATATTATTTGGGATGAAATTTGGTGTCTGAGTGTTTTTTGACATGAGAAATTTGATGTCGATGTCAATATGACACCTACTTGTAGGGGGCGCCACCTACATATTTTATAACTGGTTTGAAGAGTAATAACTTTTCGTCTGTACCTGTATAAAAGTACTATGTGAAAAAATATACATTTCCACCGTTTTTTACTTCAAAAAACCCCTTGGTAAAAATCGCTTCCAGTGACGTTCTCTAAATTTTTGTAATATAAGTTAAATAATGTTAAAAATAGTATCAATACATGTCATCAAAATAAACATGTTGACTAGATAGTTATTTGCATGAAACAATATTTTTTTCTACAAAAAATTATAATTAAACAGTTGCTGTTGAACCTTTAGCACAAAAACATTTCAAATTTATGATTTCAGTCTAATGACCATCTAGTCAAGATCTTTAATTTTTCTCAATGATTACATGTATTAGTTATTTCGATTCCATATATCGCGAGAACCATTACTCGTAGCGGTTTTCTCCAAGAGACCTTTGTGATAAATCGTTATTAGACTGAATTAATAAATTTGAAATGTTTTTGTGCCAAAAGTTCAACAGAAACTGTTTTATCAAATTTTATGATTAATCTAGAAAAATAAAAAGTTCCCAAATTTCTCATTTCGGGCAAATAACTACCTACTTAACATGTTTATTTTTTGTCAATAATGATATGTATTGACGATTTCCATTCTAAATATCTTGAGAACGGTTGCCCGTAGCGATTTTTACCAAGAGACATTTTTTTACGTAAAAAGTCACGGAAATGTTTATTTTCTCACTCAGTAGTTTTATACAGGTACGGACAAAAAGTTATTACTCTTCAAACCGTTTAGAAAATATGTAGGTGACCTCTCTACATGTAGGAGTCATGTATTGACATCAAAATCAAATTTCTCATGTCAAAAAATTTCCAGACACCAATTTTCATCCATATACTGATGTTACTTCAGAAATGAATTGGAAAAAATCGAAATAAAATTGAAACTTCTACACCCTGTATCTCCGAAACTAAGCATTTTAGGACATATATTTATAGGAAATTTTTTACTTATTTTTATCTGCAGAACATGCTGCCGAAGTTTCCGGTATACAGTTCGGACCACCCTGTAAAAAATTAACTCTATGGTCTATAACCTTAACTACCTTAAAACCACCAATAAACATAATTAACAGCGCTTTCAGATGGAGCGGACCGTCCACGAGCAAGTACCATGTGTTTATATGAACAACATCCAGACGGAGCATACGCGACCCATGTTAAATTTTTCTCATAGTAATTTCTCATTTAACTCATGGTACTTGCAGAGGTACTTGCCCGAAGTCGCCGCGCTGCGGTCCGCGCGGACGTTCCGCTCCATCTGACAGCGCTGTTACATTCAAGTATTTTTTGTTTAATTTCGATAAAACCTATAAAAAATGGCTTATGTGCTATATTTTTAAAATCAGAAAGAAATGTTCTACCTAATACACTTTTAATGTGTCAATGAAAATAATGTCGATGAAAATAAAATTATAAACGAAATCTAGTAACATTTTTAAAAGTCCAACGACCTAAAGAACACAAGAAAATCAGCGCCCAAAGACAAACTTACTCTGCAGACAAAAATAAGTAAAAATGCTTTTTTCGGGTTATACAGGGTGTAGCAGGTTCAATTTTATTTCGATTTTTTTAAATAATTTTTGAAGTAACGTCGATATTTGGATGAAAATTGGCGTTTGGGAGCTTTTTAACATGAGAAATTTGATTTCGATGTTAAATGACTCGTGTAGCCTACATATTTTTAAGTGGTTTGAAGAGTAACAACTTTTCGTCCGTACCTGTATAAAACTATTGAGTCAAAAATATACATTTCTGTCGTTTTTTACGCAAAAAGGTCTCTTAGTAAACACCGCTACGAGTAGTGATTCTCGAGATTTACAGTAATTTCTCCGGTGAAACAGAAGTGATTTATGTCATATACTATATCATACCAAATATCGTTTTTTATCTAAAAGAAATAAGAAAGTTATAGGGGTGAGCCACTTTTGACTAACATCCGGTATAGCCAAATTATTAATTTATCTAAAACTATCTCTACAAATAGTAAATACGGGTGTATTACTTATCTGAATATTAAATTAATATTGGAAAATATTTTTTACAGATCTCTCCGAAAATGCCGATTTAATAAGAACCAGACAAAACTTCAAGGGATGTATTAAAAATTTAAAAGTACAAGGCGCGAAGACAGAATGGACAGATATGGAAGAGTTGCACAATATTCTCCTTAATTCCTGCCCTGTTGTGTCATGATCACAACATCAACGATTTTATGGTGCCATTTTTATAACAGAATATTTTCATATTTAAAAAAATATCCAAATATTTGTGAAACGAGAAGTATTAGTTTACCATAAGTATAAGGTACAATTTTATAATAGTCAATAAAGAAACCACTGCCATTTTTAAATGTAAATACTTTATTTTGTATATATTTATTTATATAAAAAAAAAGTTTTCTAACGATATCAATCACACATGTGCCTATGTTACATCCTAGTTCTGTAAATATAGATATTTATGTAAATAAATCTACTTGTCTATTTATGATTTTCTATTAGTAAATATTTGAAATCAAATCAACAGTGTTTTTAATTTTAAGAAAAATCAAACCCTCACATTCAACACCAAAAAGTCATTATCCTAGATTCGATTAACTTTAATCGTAACATAAATCCTTAGATTAAAAATAAAAACATAAATCTAATAAGATCAAAAATGCACCTTCACCATATTGTCAAGATTTTGGCATTAGACCTTTTTGGCATTACATACCAGAAACCTGTCGTGGGAGTTAGAGTTTTGGTTCCCACCTTAACGACAAGCATAACAATTTTTTTTCTTTTCTCTTTTTTCGATTTTCGAAAATTGAAAATATAGCAGGTCAGGGAAGAATTTTGTATTAGGTAATAAAAGTATTATATTACTTAAAATTCCGATTACAATCATAATACCTTAACATGACAATCTCCATTATCGTTCGCTTGCCTTAATTTTTGATGTCAAGATAAATCTGAAATTTTAAAATAATGAATCATAGAATTTGTATTATTACTGATTAACTGTCAAAAAATCGTTTTTCTGCTGCAAATAATTTGAAAACAACCTGCAATTTGGCAACATCGACGATGTGCGCTTGCGTTTGTTCTTAAGTAAGAATTACTTAATAGGCCAGTAAACGTAGCTGACTAGGTCGAAAAAAATAGTAACCAACCAATCTCAACGGGAATATGTAGGTGTCTAGCCCTAGCAGCCAATTATTAAGCTTGACCAATCAGGTTGGTTAGCGTGATTATTTGGAGGGTGTTAATTCATTTGTGTTTGTCAAAAACTCTAACGTGATTGGTTGGGCTTAATAGTTGCCTGCTAGGGCTAGACACAAGTGGTAATGATCTCCTATTTAACCATTCAAAAGTCCCATTCGATTCCAGGGGGGGAAGTTTGAAAAAAACCGCCGTCATCTTGGATTTTTTCGTTTTTTTCAAATTTCTTCGTTTGCATAACTTTTTTCGAAAAAATATGTTTAAAATAGCCAGATATCCTTGAGCCAGAGATATAGCTTGGGCAGTAATATATTGCTTTAAAAGATAATTTAATCCTGACTGAAACAAGTAAAAAATGTGCCTGTCGATACTGAAAAAAGATGACGATCTTTGTCAATACCTCAACGTGAAAATGCTAACAAAGATGATTTATTTCTATTCTAAATTTAATTCTCTACAAAAAACATATCTTTAGTTTTTTTCGAAAAAAAAAATTCAAACGGAGATATTTGAAAAAAACGAAAAAATCCAAGATGGCGGCGGTTTTTTTCAAACTTCCCCCACTGGGACCGAATCAGGACCGAATGGGACTTTTGAGGGGTTAAATAGGAGATCATTATCTACACATTCCCGTTGAGATCGCTTGGTTACTAATTTTTTCCACCTCAACCTCCAGATTGACTGGCCTATAAGCAGAGTACGTAGATCACATAGGTAGTTTAAGTACTCTGCTATAAGTACTCTCGAACGTTACAAGTTTAAAAGACAAGAAAATAACCCACGATTTAAATTTGGCGGGAACTGTGGGTTGGAGTTGGACTTTGGAGTTGGAGAGTTGCACAGTACCTACAGCTAGACGCAAGTAAAGTAGTTCAAATAATCAACAAATAAACTTGGTAGTTCGGTTGTATCTGACCTTCAAAAAACCAAAAACTAGCGGTTATCAAACTGACATTTCAGGTAATAATTTCATTTTAATTTCTATATTTTGTGTTTAAAGGAAAATATAGAACAAAGTTAAAGTTTAGAAAATTTAATAATGATGTACTAATTAACAACACTTTAAATGGAGCATTTACTGAAAGGCAAATTTGGGTAAGTTCTCTTTTTAATTATAGGTTATGTCATCCTCTATAATATGTATTTTTTAAATTCTGAAATCAGAAAGTTTAATTATATAGGCTTTATAAATAATCAACTAATATCTATATTACGAGAACAAAATTCTACAATACGAGAAAAACAACGCCAAAAGCGTTATAATGATTTATTGGTTAATTTTTATCACCAATTGACTTATGTTTCTAGACTAGTCTGTATTTCAAATATACATAAATTCATTGAATAACAATTATATTTCTGTGTATTTGCTAGCTTATAGATAGTCGAAGTACATAATACGTTTATTTATATTTGTTAGCTCACATACATTCAATGTTGTTTCAGCCGAATAGTTATAAGTTCATATTCACATAATCCCCTCAAATATGGTCATCAGAGAAGATTTCAAAGAGGGATTGCAAGCTTATGGAGCGGTAGAGCTTTAGACAGAAGTAGACCTCTTTTCCATCAATATTACAGATATCAGAGAAGGGAATATGGCATGTTTATAGTAAGAGCTTTAAGAGGTATTCTTAAAATTAGGTACCTAGTAATAGGAGGTGCTGTAGCAGGTGGTGGAGCTTTAAATAAGGCAAGTATCGGTTTTTAGACATTTTAAGTTGGATTTCTGAATACTGGAATATTATAGAAGTATAACGATTGGAAGGATGGTTTGCCTGATTTGAAATGGCTAGATGAAGTATTACCAGATAATGATAGATGGAAAGAATGGAGGGGTAACCTGATTGATTTTAAAGATAATATTAAAAATAATATTGAAATTGGTAAGAATAAAATATTTAAATACTATAAAATTTGAAAATATTTTTGGCATTTCAGATCCAAGAATTAAATCTTTATCTGAAGCTAAATATTCACAGTTAAAAACTTGGTTTGATCAAAGATTAGATGATGCCATAGCTGCTGCAGAACAAGTAGAACAGAATGAAAAAGAAAATGGCTCTGCAAAAGGTAGTACCTATGAGTGACAATAACAAAACATGAGTACATTCCGTCTACCAAATTATTTAATGTTATATTTTAATATTTGTTACCAAAAATATTTCAAAAAATTAATCATATTTCTATTAAATGAAATTTTCTTTTTTCATCTAGGTCATGGCCCCAGCATTAAAGACGCTCTTGACAGAATGTACTCAGGTACGAAGCCCTGTATAAATTTTTCTAAAATGCTTATCACATTCTGCAATATCTCTTTTAGAAGTCAAAAATGAAATTCAGGAAAAAAGCGTTGCATATGCTAGACCTTTTGCCCGTCAAGATAGTGACGATGATAGAGTTCGCAGAGAAACTCAGCAAAGATTAAATGAAATGCAGGAAGAAATGATGCAGACCCAAATTAAATACCAAAGAGAGCTGGAAAAATTAGAGAAGGAAAATAAAGAATTGAGAAAGCAGAACCTACTTCTTAAGCAGGTAGACAGATTTGATAATAAAACTTAATTTAACTAATTGAAGCAAATTTAGGGACGTAAACCAAACATTAAAAAAATGAAACGCAGTTTGATCGACATGTACAGCGAAGTGCTGGATGAGTTGGCAGATTTTGATAGTGGCTATAATACCCAAGACCAATTACCTAGAGTTGTGGTGGTTGGAGATCAAAGCAGTGGAAAGACGTCAGTTTTAGAAATGATTGCCCAAGCGAGAATATTTCCTAGAGGAGCAGGAGAAATGATGACAAGGTATGCAATGGTCAAAAAGTATACACTTTTTCACTCATGCAAGTTTATATTGTTTTTATTTCTGTTTTATAAATAGTTCTTACATCAATAAGACATTGTTAAATTAATCTTTTTTTGCAAATGTTAAGTTAAAAAATAATGTCTATTAGTATTTTCCAAAACTTTTTTGTTAAGTTTAAAATTATTTGTTAAGTTACATTAAATGTTATGAAATTTTCATAAAAATTATTAATTTCATTCTACTTGTTCAAAATACTTGCATAAATTAACTTTATGAATTTATTTATAATATGTTCAAAACTATTAATTCTAAATCTAGACTATTGAAAGAGAGAGAGAAAATTAAGTTAAAATTTCATAATTTAATAATTATATTTTTTTATATTTTGAAAAACAATTATATTTTTTTATGTATTTTCTATTTGCTTATGTTAAAAATGAACAGAATCATGTATGCTTTATACAGTGAGAGATATACAATTTTATTCTTATAGGTAAGCAGACAAAAAAAAATTTCATATTTATATGTAACTAGCGTGTACCTGCGACTTCGTTCGCGTCGAATTAATCATTTGGAATGGTGATGATAAAGCAAAGCAAGAATTTTCATTAACATACAAACTGGATAAAATTTTCTCACATTTATATCAGCATGAGAAAAAACAATATGGCGATATTATTATATAACTTGGTAATATTTGAAGGGTAGTTTCATCTCGTTGGAAATTGACTTTCGAAAAAATGTCAAGCAGTTTAAGCAGAATCGTGGTTAATCAATTACCCAACTTTTTTGAACACCCTGTATGATTTTTTTTTAAATTTCAAAATATGTATGTAAAAAAACAAAATAAATTATGTGTGTTCAAGCGTTTTCCCGAAAGACTAACCGTTTTTTAAATAACAAATATTGTAATATTTGAGGGGGGTTTTCACCCTCTTAGAATTTTAGATTCGAGAAACCCCTCCTTTATCGAACGTCTACACACCACAGTCAATTAGTTTGCCAAAAATCAGCTTTAAACGTCAAACAGTTTAAGCAGAATCGTGATTACTCAACGGTCATATTTTATGAAACACCCTGTATAAATTTTAAAAAAATCCTAAAATATGTAAAACAACAAAATAAAATATACGTGTTTAAGAGTTTTTCCGAAAAACTCAACAGTTTTTAAGTAAAAAATATTCTAATATTTGAGGGGTGGTTTCACACCCTTAGAATTCGAGTTTCGAAAAATCCCTTCTTATCGAACCTCTACACACTAAAGTCAATCCGTTTTCCAAAAATCAGCTTTTTACGTCAATCACTTTAAAGCCCCGTTCTCAGAACTGCGTCGTGTCGACAGCGACATTGATTGACACTTCAAACGACCAATGGGAGCTGTACTAAATTTAAAATTGACAGCTGTTTGAATTTTGTACAAATCTGATTGGTTCTTTTGTCGTGTCGCTGGCGACAGTCGCAGTTCTGAGAACGGGGCTTAAGGATCGTGATTAATCAATGACAGACTTGGCAGTTTCCAAAAAAAAATATGATTGATTTAAAAAAATAAAAAATTTCCAATTTTATCATTGCAATCAAATAACTATCTACTCAACATATGTTTATTTTTGGTCAAAAATGACGTGAAATTGACTATTTCCGTTCTAAATATCTCGAGAACGGTTGCTCGTAACGATTTTTGCCAAGTGATATTTTTTACGTAAAGAGTCACGGAAATGTATATTTTTTCACTCAGTAGTTTTATACAGGTACGGACGAAAAGTTATTATTCTTCAAATGAGTTAAATCACATGTAGGTGGCGCCCTCTACAAATGGGAGTCATATTGACATCAAAATAAAATTTCTCATGTCAAATAACTCCTAGATACCAATTTTCATCCAAATATTGCTGTTACTTCTGAAATTATTAGGAAAATATCGAAATAAAAATGACTCTTCGACACCCTGTATCTCCGAAACTAAGCATTTTAGGACATACATTTATACGAACTTTTTTACTTATTTTTACTTGCAGATTATGCTGCCGAAGTTTCCGAAATACAGTTCGGACCACCCTGTATATTAGTATAGATTAAAATTTAATCATCTCACAATTATCATCTTTATTTTATTTTAAAAGATTATGACTTCCAAAAAAAGTAATGGTATATAGCATATACTTGTCCAAAAAATGTATTATAAAGAATATTTCCATAAGAGTTACTGTGTCGGTGTAAAAAATCCAGATCCATATTTAAAAAAATGTGGAGGAAGGATCTTGGAAAGGAAACCTTAGATTGAAAATCTACCAACATCAACTAGTGGATATCCAAAATCCCAATATTTGAAAAGTCCTGTTTACGGGTTTCTTTTAACATTCCTTTTATAGATCACGTAATGCCACATCGTAATAATTTCTCTATTTTATCCATGAATAACAGACGACAATTCAATCTATTAATATTTATTTATCGAATTTTAACTACAAAATAGCCCCAATTTGTTAATTTGTAAAGTCCGCGGACTTTACGGCGCAACTTTTCTCTAATTTAACTGACCCATAATTATTAACTTTCATAATAACTTTTCACGTAACAATTATGTATAAGTATCCTACTAGAGCAAAGCCTGAAGCAATCTCTAGTTTATTATAATGTTATTAGGCAATATCACATCCCCACTATGTTTATTTTCTAGGGCTCCAGTCAAAGTTACTCTCTCAGAAGGCCCTTATCACATTGCTCAATTCCGCGACTCTTCCAGAGAGTTTGATCTTACCAAAGAGAGCGATTTGGCGGATTTAAGAAAAGAAGTAGAACTCCGAATGAGAAACAGCGTAAAAGGTGGTAAAACGGTATCTAGTGAAGTGATTTCCATGACAGTTAAGGGTAATTATAGGCAACCTGATATAAATGTACTTTGTTTTATTTAATTTTTTTTAATACTAAAATATAGGTCCTGGTTTACAAAGAATGGTCCTTGTAGATTTGCCAGGTATAATTTCAGTATGTTCATGTAAAATAAAAAAAAAACAAAGATTTAACTATACGTTTTTTCAGACTCAAACAACCGACATGGCGGCTGATACTCGGGAGAGTATAAAACAGATGACTCAAGCATATATGAATAACCCAAATGCCATTATTTTATGCATACAAGTGTGTTAACTTCATCGTAATGTAATATATTTTTAATAGCGTCAGTTTTTCTTTGTAGGACGGATCTGTAGATGCTGAAAGAAGTAATGTTACAGATTTAGTTGCCACTTGCGATCCTCAGGGTAAAAGAACTATTTTTGTACTGACCAAAGTGGATATGGCAGAGGAGAATCTAGCAGATCCTAATAGAGTAGGCTATTGATTTTTGAAAATATTATTTAATTTGAATAGTTATAATTTCAGATCAGAAAAATTTTATCTGGAAAACTATTTCCCATGAAAGCCTTGGGATACTTTGCTGTGGTGACTGGACGGGGACGCAAGGATGATTCTATACAGGTTATCAAAGATTACGAAGAAAATTTCTTTAGAAGCTCCAGATTGTTCAAGTAAGTTTTTTACGTTAATGCAAGTTATAGAAAACGTTTAATATTTTGATATACACGTTTACAGAGACAGTCAGGTAAAGTCGACGCAAGTCACTACAAGAAATCTCAGCCTTGCTGTAGCGGATTGTTTTTGGAAGATGGTTAAGGAGACGGTAGAACAACAAGCAGATGCGTTTAAAGCTCGCCGATTTAATTTAGAAACGGAATGGAAAAATAATTTCCCCAGGTAAAAAATTATTTTAATCTTATCCATGACCACAATGTTAAATACTCTAAAACAGACCAAAAAAAGCGAAATTTTTTGGAACGTTAAGTGTCGGTTCTGGACCTATAAATGGTGAACATACACCTGTTTTGGCGAGGGAGTCAGCACGTTTGTTTCGCCAACTTGTCCCGGTATTCATTTTAGCGACACTTTGTTCCTATCCCCTAATAAATTAAGCAGTTTTCTACAAAGAAGATTCATCCTAGATGTGCTTTTCGTTGCCTCAAGCGCTTTCAACACGGCTTGACTATCCGAAAATATTTTTATTGTTTTCCCGTCGTATTCTACAAGCAAATGCACAATCGCGCATAGGTTTCAATAGCATATAACTCAGCATGGAAAAACGTGTGTTTTTCAAGACTGGTAGATCTCAATCTTTGGACTGCTGTAATAAATTCCATTAAATTTTCAAGTTCAACAGTTACAAACCGTTTTATTACAGTTGCATTATTTTTTTTTAATTTTTAGCTTCGTTCCAACTTCGACGAAACCCGTTTAATGTACGGTCACGGTCAAGCGCACTAGGATAAACGCGTTCCAATCGAGAAATGATCGTTTACCGTACGATTTCGTTTGCGTTCCAACCAAACTTCTGACTGTCAAAAAGCCAGTTTCGGTACCGTCATTTTTTTTTTTTCGATCCCAGGGTGAAAAGCAGAAACCGTGTGGGCCGATAAATGACTGACATGCCCAATTTAATTCTAGTCTAAACATCAAAGCTCGAATCGAACCTAACCTAGTATAATCTGTGGTAACATAAACTATTGTTTGCTATTTTTTTATATAAATTTATGAACAACGTGGGAACAACAAAAAACATCAAAGCTCGAATCGAACCTAACCTAGTATAATCTGTGGTAACATAAACTATTGTTTGCTATTTTTTTATATAAATTTATGAACAACGTGGGAACAACAAAAACAAAAAAAAACATATTTAGGCTCTGATTTAGGTTTGATGAATTTGAAACGAGGAATGACAAATGACGTATTTTAAAACGGTTCTAAACCCGTTCCAACCTGATGTTGTTTGTGTACCGAAATAGAACCGTACAAAGTCAACGCCTACGACTGTAATCAATTATAGGGGTTCCAACCATTTCGTGACGGTACGAAACCGTGGAGTTGGAACGAAGCTTTTATTCTCTGAATTTGGACAAATTTTTTCATTATCATTTCTATTAATAGTAATAAAATTGTTTGATGCCATAATGAACATTATTTAAGGCAAATACACTTGGACGATATTTGAATCGTACCAACTGATTTAAAATCGGTCGATACGATCCATGTGGCGTCCTAGTGAGACGCGCGCAGCGTCAAAGTGAATTTCATCAAAGTACACTTGGACTGTTTCAACCGGGCTTTAGAAAATACTAAACATAATGAGTGTGTGAACAAATATTGTTTGCTTTTGTTTAAATTAGAAAACGGATATATTACCCATATAATGAAACGACTCATTTACGATTTGCATTCTAGACTTCGTGAACAAGATAGAGACGAGTTGTTTGAGAGAGCGAGAGCAGAAGTTTTAGACGAAATTGTAAATTTGTCGCAAGTAAGCCCTAGAGAATGGGAAGAATGGCTATTACAGAACATATGGGAAAAAGTTTCGGGGTATGTCTTTGAGAGCATTTATATACCTGCAGCACAAACTGGCGCAACAGGTATGTATCACTTCTCTTTATTAAATAAAAGAACTACATAATATGCGTTTCGACATATGTCTAGACTTGGAGCATTCTCCGCCGGTGCTGCCACCATTGGAGAATATTGTAAACAATCGATATACAGGTTGTTAACTGGACAGTTACTTATAGGGAAACAGAATGGCAACACTGCCTATTGAGAACGCATGTACTTATAGGGTTTTCTGCCGACTCGTCCCGTCGCGTCGTCTATCGACGAGTGGACCGAGGTTGCCATATTTCAACCATAAAGCTCTTGCCTCGAGTAATAAACAAATTAACAACCTGTATACAAATACACAGGTTTAAATAGCGACTATACGAAAAATTTATTATTTAATTATCCTAAATGTGTTTGGAAGTATAATTTGTAAAAATTCTAAAAATAAAAATAATAAAGTAAATGTTTTGATATCTGCAGAAGGTCTAACTTGTATTATTCCAGTTAAAAACACTTTTTAGATGAGTGCAACTACGGTAGCGAGTAGCGAGCATAGTTTAGTCACCGGTTTTGCTAGCGGGGCATAATTGGAGCTATTTTGGCTATGACGAAATTTTTTAAAGGTACAGAATTATAATTTTAGAAGATCTAAGTTAAGATCTAGTTGATTAAAAAATGTATGAGAATTCATTTTTCCGTTTGATCAAATCGGTGTGAGAAACTATGAAGCTATAAAATGTTGTTTCAGGAGAGTTGAATATCCGGGAAAGTTAGGTTATTGAATGTTATTACACCTAACAACGCCCTAATTACACTCTCCTTTACGCGTTAACATTTGTTTGGTAATTTTATTAACATTACAAATTGTGACAACACAACACGACGGCTAGTTCGAATTTTTTTTCACTTATTTTTTACTACCCGAAACAGCGTTACATCACACAAACCTCGTACCTGAGTGTTTTATAGTTTCAATAACTGCACTAGCAAAAAATCAAAATACTTAAATATTATGACAAAACCACGATTTCAATATTATTTTAATGCGATCAATATGACGCTGACGGCGGCGTGAACTATATATTGATAATTTCATATTTTTTCCGTTGAAGCGCTGCGGTCAGAATTTGTTGAAATCAACTGAAATGCACCAAGCCTACATATTTAAAAAAATGCAATGGCTAATCAACCGCCAACATGGCAAAATGCTATGTTCCCCTTGACAAAAATCGAGATTAATTTCTTTTTGTATGTTTATCCACACATTGTTGTTCTTATAAAATCTGCAGAACTAATTTTAAATGTTATAATTATTTAGTTATGAAGATACGAAAAAAAAAATCGATTTTTTTCAAGCTGAACATATCATTTTGCCGTGTGTCCGCCAGCGGTAATTTAGCCAGTTCGTTAAAAAAATCATATAGGAAATCAACAAGTAATTGACACTTTCAATAATAAATTAATATTTGATTGTATTGTGTTCTTTCATTTTAGAGACTTTCAACACCTCTGTAGATATCAAACTTCGCCAATGGGCCGAATCTACTCTTCCATCACAATCAGTGGAATCAGGATGGGAAAGCCTGAAATCTGAGTTTGAGAGGTTTATGCAGAAAGCCTCGAAGGCTCCCGAGCACGACGGCATTTTCGATCAATTGAAGCAGGCTGTGGTTAATGAAGCTATGACTAGACATAAATGGGAGGATAAGGTGAGAATTGAACCATTTGACATTTCTAACATTCTATAACTAACCTAACCAATTGGTTAGTAACATAACCTAACCTATTGACCCATTTGACATTTCACCTCCTCCTCCTCCTCCTTCCTATTACTCTAAGAGTATGGTGGTATTATGTTATCGCATTTATTGTGTCTCTCCATGTTGTTCTGTCTTGCGCAGCAGTACTGGCTTCGTGCAGACTATGACCTATTATCGTCTTCATTTGATCCACCCAACGGTTTGGAGATCTCCCTCTAGGACGTTCCCCGTTCACTTTTCCCTCCACAATTAGTTTTTCTTTATCATTGGTGTTCCTGGATATATGTCCAAAGTATCTTAAATATGCTTGATTTATTGATATCGACAGTCTAGATTTGATATTCAGTTGTTTGAGAATTGAAATGTTTGTACGGTGAGCTGTGTACGGTATTCGCAGCGTCCGTGTATAACATCACATTTCAAAACCTTCGATTTTACGTCTCATTGCCAACTTCAGTGTCCAGTCTCTGAGGCGTAAGTGGCAATGGGGAAAATTAGGGCTCTTAGTAGTCTGAGTTTGTTGCTAATTGAAATGGCTGAATTTTTCCATATTTTATTGAGTTTGGTCATGGGATTACGCGCTATACACAGTCTTCTCTTGATTTGTGCATCACATCCTCCTTTGTTTGATATCAGGGAACCGAGGTATATTGATCTGATATTGATCTACAACTTCAAAACCTGCTATTTCTGTTGTATTCGTGGGTTTTCGATCCATAATCATTAATTTTGTTTTTCTTTTATTTTATTTTAACCCATATCTCGCTCACCACCTCTAATTTGTGCATAATGGATTTTAATTCATTAGCGAAGGATGCGAATATAAGTGTATCATCTCTGTACCTTAAATTCGAACTTTTCTCTTTTTGGGGGGATATTTTAACTTCTTAACAATAAAACCAATATAACAAGCATCTTTTATTATATTACCAGGTCAAATAAACAGTAACAGTTTCAACTGTTATTATTATTAAATATAGACGATAACAGTTTGGCTTAGAAGCAGTCTATATGGACAAATATTCAAATATTTTTTCTGTGATAACAGTTTCATTATCCATTATAATGTTATAATAATCGTTCATATTCAGTTAAAATAGAGGAATACAAGGGGAAAGGCGGGAATAGAATTTTAAGTGCGCTTCCCGCCACGCATCATCGAAGCGCTATATCCTTATTTCTTTCCTTGTATATGGATTTTAACCTAACCTAACCTAACAGATCTATTGTGTCCCCCCGGCCCCATTCTTAAGTTTTTGACAAAAGTCAGTACGTGAGAGGGTTTTACAGATGTTAGTTCTCCATCTCCGACATCAGTCATACCAAAGTGTATGGCATGAATGGTTGTTGTCTCAGCGCCCTCAGCGATTAGTAAGGTCCGACCTCGAGACCTCGGTCTCGGTCTCAGATTTTCGGCTAAAATTCAGGCCGAGATATCGGTATCGTTCTCGGCATAAAAAGGCCGAGATTAATGGCCCTGGCCACGGCCGAGACTGCTCACGATAGTCAATTTAGCTTTTTTTGAGCGTATCGCTCCACCTATCGATGCGTGGATGAATGAAATACTCGTCTGAAGTCGAAAAAAAAAGAATGGATTATATCTGATCCATATATTATCTGATCGAATCAAGAAGGGGATTTCCCGGACGGCTGAAGAATTGCCTTCGTATTTCTATGCGTAAACAATGAACGTGTTAGTGCCTTATTAATGCAAGTTTTATAAATTTAACAGAATTGCGTTTTTATATGAATTACGTATAACACAATTTATTTAAACTATTTTCAAGTCTGGCTCTGTTTTTTTATTATTTAATATATTCATCGTTACAATATTGTTAAGCTTTCAAACTTAACAGTGACGTGGGTTGAATACGGAAAATCAAATGCAATAAAATAATAAAAAATAATATAAATAAAATGTAATATAAACAATCAAATAATTTCCCCGGAAGATGGATTGGAAATGGTATAATGGCTAGCAGTATAATGGCTAGCGAGGTACTTGGACCGTCTGATGACGTCAAGTAATTCGACAGGTCCAAATTTTACAAAAAAGTGAAATCAACACATCTCGGCAATTACAATAAAGAGTACAAAATGCATTCAGAAGTATAAGAAGATCTATTGAAAAGCTATAAATAAAATTGAACGAAAAATAAATTTCTGCAATAGGGAGGGTAGTAACCCTTTCGAACATATAGACTATGTAAAGCATTAGAAACTAGTTTATAGAAGTTAATTTATTTATAATAACTACGATTAATATTATGCAAATTATTAGATCGTACACTGAGAATTTCAAATTCACAATAAGAAAAGTTAAAAATAATATCTTTAAATTGTTGATCTGGATATTATTTATTTGAATCTTTCAATTGGCTCAATTTTCCTTATTTAATGTTAATTAGCCCTGATCAATATCGTTGCGATGAATATAATCAGATTAAATAATTTAAAAAACAGAGTCGGACTTGAAATTTTTTTAAATAATAATTAAATAGTTTTGTTGCTGTTAAGGTACCCAAAACAAAAAAAAGTATAAATTGTGGCATACCATTGTACTCAGGAGACTGAGTTCTTTCAAAATCTGAAATCAAAAATGCAGCTCCGTATTTAAAAAAATTAAGTTGGCCTCTGTATCTTACAAATTATCAGCTAATTTGAAAATCTAAAAATACTATCAGGTAGCCCTAATAAAGTGGCTATGAGAATGTGCAATTAGTTTTTTGATTTTCTAAAAAGTAACGACAAGAAAAAATAAAATTAGTTTTCAAAAAAATCCGTTTTTTCCAAAAAACTCAGCAATCAAATCAATTAAAAATTGAAATTTTTAAAACTTTTGATGGCATCTTGGTGAACAGCCCAAGGCGCAACTTTGCCCCAATTAAACCATCTTCGTATCTATTACGGTTTCCGAGATACCAATGCTCGTACCTCGAATTTGTAGCACCCTGTATATGCTTGTCCCGTTAAAATTATTTGTTTAAATAGTTATAACTTATTTTCCATAGTCGCGAATATTTACAATTGTTTTTATTCTGAATAGGCCTCAGATATGCTACGCGTAATACAGTTGAACACTTTAGAAGACCGCACAATCGGAGATAAAAGAGATTGGGACCAAGCAGTTAAATTCCTAGAAGCCAGTTTAAAGGAGAAATTGAAAGAAAGCGAGTTATCATTAAAGAACTTATTAGGGCCTTCTGCCAAGGAAAGGTGGCTTTATTGGAGGTATCAAACAGATGTAGAAGCCAAAAGAAATCAAGTGAAAGCAGAACTTGATAGAATTATTTATTCAAATGAGGTAAATCGTGTTCTTTTATAAATAATTATTTATATATTCACTATGTAATATGTATAACAGAAACATCCACCAATTTTATCCTATGATGAACTAACGACAATACGAAACAACTTGCAACACAGCAATGTAGAAGTGGACAACGAATTTGTGAGGGAAGTATGGGATGCTGTGTATAGAAGACATTTCTTGAACAAGGCACTTGGAAGAGCGTACGACTGCAAAAAAGCGTTTTATTTGTATCGTCAACAAATGGACGTCGATTGTGCTGACGTAGTACTATTCCACAGGATACAACAAATGATGAAAGTAACAGCTAATGCTTTAAGACAACAAATAACAAATAGAGAAGGTCAGTGTAATTTTTAAATGGTCTAGTTTAAAATTTGAGAAAAAAATATTTTTTGGAAATAGATTTCTGTGTCTGGGAAAGTTCTATCCTTTTTCAATCTTTCTATAATTATTAGTGTTAATTTTTGACAAGATTTACGTCAATTTTTAGTAAATGACGTCTAGAGATTGACCGTGTCAAAATTATCAATTTTCATTCCCCAGCCGATATATGATATAATTTGATTTTTTCAGCAAGAAGATTGGATAAAGAAATTAAAGAAGTTCTAGATGATTACAGTCAAGATCAAGACAAAAAAGTTCAACTGTTAACTGGTAGAAGAGTAACACTAGCTGAGGAACTAAGTATGTATTTAATGACAGTTATGATAAATATTAATTTAATATCTTTATAGAACGAGTTCGACAGATACAAGAGAAGTTAGAGGAATTCATACAAGCATTGAACAAAGAAAAATAAGAATTCTAGTCCCGTTTTACTTACGCTATAAGTCCCAATTTTATTTTGTTGGTTAAATGCTTAATTAAACTTTATTTTCCTTTTTTTTTTTTTCGTCACAGATATTTTTTTTATTTCCTATTTCAATGTATGTGGAAAGAGTTTTTATTAGCCCAAGTGATTATTGTTATAAAATTACAATTTGTACTGTTACAAAAATAAATGTGCAAAAACGATTTTAATTTCTTTGTAATTGAATAACTATTTAGTCAACATGTTTAATGTATGTCAACGATGACAGGTATTGATAATTTCGATTTAAAATATCTCGAGAACTATTAAGCTTGATTTTCATGCATCCGTTATACGTTGATACGATGGTCCGACGGTGCTCTGATTGGTCATAGCGTTTTCGCGCCACTTTTCATCCATAAATATTTTACTTCAGCCCGCCAACGGATCCGTTCATAGGATAACGGACGTTTTGACAAATTTAATCTAACCTTAATAAAAATATAAGTAAAATAGCAAAATAGTTATGGAAACGAAAATATAAAATAACACCAACGTATATCCGATAAACGGAGGCATGAAAATGCAATAAATTTAAAAACGTGCGTTATTTTCTAATCAATCAAAGTCTTTAAATTCTACCAATAAAAGTTATATCGTATCAACGTATCGTCGGACAACGGATGCATGAAAATCAAGCTTTTGCCGGAGTCTCATGCATCCGAAATCCGATGACACGACGATCCGACGGTGCTCCTATTGGTCGAAATATTTTGACACCAATTTTTATTCGATATTTTTAACTAATCGTCCGACGTCGTTTAAAGTTAAATTTTGTTTAACTTTTGTACGATATCGTGTGTTTTTTAACCTCACTTTGAAAATATTGGTTTTTAAAATCAAGTTTAGTGGGAAGTGGGCAACTTCGGGATATTTGGCGAGGAAGTTATTTTTTTAAGTGTTTCTCCAATAATACATGGAATAATACATAATAATAATACATAGGAATGACAGGTCTAAATGTCAAAACTGTCAAATTTCGGAACGAACTTTCGGATGTATGTGACAGGCTTTTATTATTTCACACGATAACTTTAAATTTCGGATGTCGTATCATCGGATTTCGGATGCATGAGACTCCGGCTTTCTCGTAGCGATTTTTCCCAAGAGACCTTTTTACCTAAAAAGTGTCATAAATGTTATTATTTTACTCAGTAGTTTTATACAGGTACGGACCAAAAAGATATTACTCTTCAAACCAGTTAAAAATTATGTAGGTGGCGCCCTCTACAAGTAGGAGCCATATTGAAAACATTAAAACTTCTATACCCTGTATCTCCGAAATTAAACATTTTAGGATATACATTTATACGAACTTTTTTACTTATTTTTATCTGCAGAATATGTTGCCGAAGTTTCTGGAATACAGTTGGGACCACCCTGTATAATATACAAAATGACAGGGGTCATCTTCATTTCCAAGCCATCTCTAACGCAGTTTTTTTTCGATCCTACGTGCTTGGAGTATATAATCCAGTTGATTTTTAAAATTTCAACAGCATCGCTCGGTACGGGAAAAATCAGAACTTTTCGGCTCTGTATTTCACACAGTCGCGATTACTATTATTGTTATTTATTTGAAATAATATTGAAATCGTGGCTTTGTCACATTTAAGTATTTTAAGTTTTACTAGTGCAGTTATTGAAACTATACCGGGTGCGTCTGAAAAGTGGTTCACCCCTATAACTTTTTTATTTTTTTTTCAGGCAAAGAAAACGAGATTTAATAGTTAGTATATGACGTAAAATAGGACTGATTGACGTATTCAATTATTTTTGGTCACTTCCCGTTTTACCGGAAATTACTACAACTTTTGATTTATAAATGGCACCCTAGGTATATTTCTACTTTATTTGATAGAAAATGACACTTTGGATACCATGACATATCATATGTCAACTTTTGACATTTTCGCATATGGTTTATTTGAACTTGTGACATGCGGTTCGTAACGACAACTTGACTCGAGATACCAACTGTGTGGTATCAAATTATTCGTAAAAAAAATCTTTTTCTTAATATACTAATGAGACACCCTCGTTCCACTTGACAAAATTGAAGTATGATTAAAAATACGATTTAGGCATCTTTTAACCGGCCATAACAAGACACGAAAAACATTAGACAAACAAAACCATTTTTCCAACGCTCATTGATTAAAAGTTAGTGTTTTTAGCACGCATATTTTTTTCAAACGTTGACATTGTGCGCGTTCAGGGAACACAGCGGCTGACCGACCGCTGAGTATTTTGCTCAGCGGCTGACTGTGTTTGCGTGTAAAAAGTGACCGTTTAGGGAAACCGCTTACTCAGCCACTCAGCCGCTGACCGTCCCTGAACGCGCCCAATGGTATGTCATTCTATTCAGACTGTCATTTTCTATCGAAAAAAAAATACCGCGAGGGTGCCATTTAAAAATCAAAAGTTGTAGTCATTTCTGGTGAAACAGGAAATCATCAAAAACAATTGAATTCTTCAATCAATCCTAATTAATCCTTAAACAATAAAAAAGTTATAGGGGGTGCGCGCCACTTTCGAGACGCACCCGGTACATCTTTAATTCTTAGGTACGAAGTTTTTGTGATGTAACGACGCTGTTTCGGGTAGTAAAAATTAAGTGAAAAATATCCCAAACTGAGCGACGCGTTATGTTGTTACAATTTCAGATGATAATAAGATCGCCGAAAAAATGTAGTGAACACGATCATAACTGATCATAATTGCGTGGTTGTTGGGTATTGTATTGTATTTACTAAGGGTGGGTCTCAGCTGGGACTGCGGGAGACTATTGCGGTTCAGTACTATAAGCTCTTATTAAATAAAAAAAGATTGTTAAATTTCACCCTCAAGACCCAACTTTTTAACATAGGCTGTTATGTTTCGAGGGTGATACGTCTATGGTATGTCTAAAATTAAAAAAAAAAACTAAAAAAATGTTTTAAATTTATGTATTAAAATATATTCAAATAAAAAAATACCTATTGGACTTAAAAAATAAATTTTACACAATTAAGAATATAAATACAATCACTGGTCACTGGTGACGGAACTTCTAACCAATTGAAATGCTGATATTAAACCAGTTAACTGAATGTTTTCATTAGCTCCACGTGAAAGTCTATACTCTATATCTGCCATTTTATCTAACAGTTTGGCCATTACTTCAAATGGAAATTCAACTGGAAATAAAAGAATAAAAATCGTATAAGGTGCGCTACCTTTGTCGTTATATTTTGTAAAATTGCGGGATCTAATATATCAATAAGAAATTACATATAAAAAGTATAAAAAGTGTGGCACACCATTGTACTCAGGGGACCGAGTTCTTTCAAAACCGGAAATAAAAAATGCAGGTCCGTATTTAAAAAAATTAAGTTGGCCTCTGTATCTTACAAATTATTAGCTAATTCGAAAATCTAAAAATACTACCAGATAGCCCTAATAAAGTGGCTATGAGATTGTGGAATTAGTTTTTTGATTTTCTTAAAAGTAACGACAGGAAAAAAATTAATTTTCAAAAAAATCCGTTTTTTCCAAAAAACTCAGTAATCCTTGAAATTTTTAAAACCTTTTTGATGGCATGTTGGTGAACATCCCAAATCGCAACTTTGCCCCAATTTAACCATGTTCATATTTATTGCGGTTACCGAGATACTGTAGCATAATTAATAAAATATGTTGGAAATATTAAATATAATACATTAATTTAATATAATAGTAAAACAGGTTTCTGGATCTTAACATTAGGTTTCTTATAAACTAATATATAGATGGCCCTGGTAGTTCAATTTATAAATTTCGCTTTTTTGCAATAATGGAATTCGGGTGATCGCCATTTTATTTATACCGCTACAAGTGTTAACAGCCTTTGGTTTTTGACTTATTACCAAATATATTATATTCTTATTATTTTGGGGTATAAACCTGGTATTAGGTAAGAAATTGATTTACAACCCTTAACTCGGTTACCTATTAATTATAATTTATTTTAGAACTTTGTAGAACTTTTACTAAACCACACTTACAACCATCAGCGTGGAAAATAAAAAAGATAATATTTCCTGCAGTAGTTGTTTTATTGACCAGTCTTCAGAACCTTACGTTACAATACCAATGCTCGTACCTCGAATTTGTAGCATCCTGCATATTATGACATTAACTTACAAATACTTACTTCTATGAACAAACTTATGGACTTCTGTTAGTATATCTGCTAGAGCCAATCCCTTTAATTTTTTTAATTCTTGAATATCTAAAACAATTTTTTCATAAGTAATTTTATAAAATATAAAATGTAACAGTAGATACTTTTATAACATATATCTGTATCTTCGGTGAGCAGCCAATTTAATATATTTTCTATATCACTTCTTAAAGGGTGACCTATACATGTATACACAGTGTCTTCAGTGACATCTTTAAAGGCAAACCAAGTACTTTGCAACACATTCAAGGTTTTTCTCATGTCTCCATTTCCTAATTTTAGAAGGGCCTGTTTTCCATCATCTGAGATTTTAACACTAAAATTATAATATAAATAAAAATATCTTTGTGAATATTATCACAAGTAAATGTACCTTTCCTGCTCACAAATGTAATCTAATCTTGGTAAAATTTGTTCAGGTGATAATGGGCCAAAACGAAATCTAGTACAACGTGATTGCAATGCTGGTATTATTTTATTTAAATAATTAGATAAGATGCAGAATCTGATATTATCAGTGTACTTTTCTATAACTGAAATAACCATAGTTAATCAAAATGATAATTGTAAATACACTAAAAACCTACTCCTTCTTAATGCATTCTGTGCATCTAGGGTCATAGCATCTGCTTCATCTAATATAATCAACTTAAACCCACTTTTAAAAATCGTTCTGGTGCTAGCAAAAGTTAATATAGGACCTCGAACAATACCTATTCCTCTATCATCAGAGGCATTTAATTCCAAAACCTACTCATAAAATGAACAACGGATTAATATTAGACTATTTGCGTTTCGCATTTTCTAATTACCATAGATGGAAATTGAGCTGGAGTGTACAACTGCCTTGCACAAGCTAATATTGTACTAGTTTTTCCTGTACCTGGAGGGCCATAAAAAAGTAAATGAGGTACTTGATCTTCTTTGATGAATTTTGATACTGCAAAACATTATTTAAAGAAATAATAAATGTATATTAAACTACAAGGTATACACACTCGTTCTAATAATTCCTTCATGGGATATTAAATCATTCAAAGTACTTGGCCGGTACTTTTCAACCCTTAAATAAATTGATTAATAAATTGTTTCTAAAAGTTTAAATACTTACCATGGCAAATTTATACTTTTTTCTTGCTGTACCATCTTATAATTCAATATTGTTATTCGTTTATACAATGCAAATATATGAAAACGTGATGAAAACCTAACTTTATGAAATAAATAAGACAAATTTGATTCAAATTTAGAAATTTAAATACCTACCAGCTGGGAAGATGAATTGTGATTGACAATTTTGATGTGTTAAAAGGCGGGAAATTTTCTAAACCTATTTAATGGTAGGCAACTAGTAATGCCTCATTTTAATAAAATTAACATTGGCGATCTAGTAGTAGCCCTAATATTATAAAAATGTATTTATTTTTATTTCATTGTAAATTCTATCGATTCTTGCAGATATGAACAACGTCATTACTTAACTTTTACACAAAACTTGAGTTAATTATTCTTTAGTCATTGGAAATTTTAAAGTTGCATACCTTCATCTGTCACTATAGACTTCTGTCACTTTGTCACTTTCAAAAAAAATGTTTTGATCTTGTTTTGATTAATGATAATTTATAATTTCCTATTTTTGAATATATTTTTTTTTTATAAAATTGAAGATTGCAGCAGAGATTGCAGTGAAGTATTTATGCTTATGTGATATCTTATTCCTAAGTATTTAATAGAAAATTAAATAGTTTCGGAAATAATATCACCGATTTTTTGAACGCCTCTGCTCTTATCATTTGAAATAGCTACTGGCAGAGAACTGGCAATATTTTTATTGCCGTAATCCTATTTTTAGTTTTTCGTAGTACTGCAGCACGGTAAAAAGTGCAGAAATCGAACCATACCAGTTATATATAAGCAACTACTAGGTACTGCTTTATCCATTCAAGTTTTACAGATGTTTAAATACCGACCTTGGCTTTGCTCTAAGGCTTAGTTCAAGGATACACATGATTAATAACAAACCTGTATAATAATTATCGTTGGATAAAGCGTCTTACGAATATGTGAATTAAATCATTCTCGTTCACGGGCAGTTAGCATCTTCATGTTTTGGAATATTCTTAATTGATTTAAGAAGGTATGTGCATCTATATTTGATTCTGTATATTAACATAGTTTAACATGGTACCTATAATTAAATACCTGAGCTTATAATGTATTAAATATATTATTCATGCAAGCAGATATTTAAATAATTAGTGATATATCTACCCATGTTTACTATTATGTCACAAAAAGTATACTGGAATGAGTAGGCGTGAAGCTAAATAAAATAAATATAAATATCTATATATTTATTAAATTAAATTTTTATTTTAGATGAATTCTGCTAAGAGAATGTATGGTTTGGAAACTTTCTTCAGAAACCAAAAATTTGTTGATTGTACTTTTGTAATCAATAATAAAGAAGTAAGAGCTCACAAATTGGTGTTGGCCAGCAGAAGTTTGGTGTTTGAAAAAATGCTATATGGTGATTTAGCCTCTGACATAATTACTTTAGATGATGTACAATTAGAAGATTTCAATAGGATGCTAGAGTATATTTATACTGACCAAATTTTACTGAAATCAATTAATAATGCCTGGACAATGTTGTATCTGGCAAGAAAATATCTCTTAGATGATTTGACTGAAGAATGTGTGAATTACATTTCAGACAATTTAACTTTAAGGAACTTAGTCCTTAGCTACGAATATTCAGAGCTGTATAACATAACGCAGTTAAGAAATCGATGTTTGGCCGATATTGTCAGTTCATTTAGTGGTCTCTTTGTTGCTGATTATCACATGAAGTCTTCGACTTTACGCACCTTACTGGTAAAAGATTTAGGAATGCCAAAGGTTGATTTAATGCTCAAAATTATCGACTGGACAATCACCGAATGTGATCTTCAAGATGTAACACCAACTCCAGAAATTATAACTGATATTCTTCGTCAAGAGGATCTTTTACCATTTTTCAACAAGAAATGGTTGTTGGACTTAACATGTGAATATTGTAGTGACAGTGTTTTAGTGTGTCAGTGTTTTGGAGATCTCATTCATAACACACTAGTTCATCTTTCTGGTGAAATCAATTGGGAGGAGGAATCCCATAGTCTTCCAAGGATAGTAAAACCGCATCCTCACTTATGCAAATCCAAAAAAGTGTTCAAAATTGCATGCCGTATAGATCTGAGAGAAGGTGAGGAATTTTCTTCCGAAATAGTTGTAGACACCACACTAGTTGTATCTGGTCTAGTAATTTGTTCTGAAATGAAGTGCTCCTCTGATTCTACCGATACATATAAGGGTACTGTGATGGTACGTTTTGTTGAACAGAATTCAAAGAAAAATTTATCAAGACCAACAATAGTGCGTGATGTTTTTACCTATGACTCGCAAGTTTATATTCCATTAAGATATGCAGTAGTACTATTTCCAGGTAAGGTTTATAATATTCGAGTGTCTTACAAAAATTATATGCAAGCACACTCTAGTATAGTTTGTAGTTATATGAGTGATAAGTTGGAAAGTACGAAACCAGACTGCTCTATGTTTTTCTTTGATTGGAGAGGAAGTATTATTAGAGGTGTAACATTTTATCCCCTCTAAGTCTATTTTAAGTATCGAAAACTAAATTTTCTGTGATGCCTTAGAAAACTATTTTTTTCCTTAGTAGTTTCCAATCTGTAAATAAGTGCAATATTTATTCAGAAACAATTTATTTTGTTGAATGAGTATTAATCATTTATTGTTATAGGATTTTTTACCCTGAATTCTTAAAATGTTATTAAATGTTGGATTAATTTGAATAAAAATTTAATTAAACTGTAAAGATCTAAAATTGTCTTTTGATGATTTATAGAAAGTATCTTGATCTGCCATAGGTTGATTTTATCTCTACCAATATATCTATATTGGCAGAGTAAGTGGATATTGGTACAATATAAATAAACTACCTACTTGTGATGAGTGACTCAAGTTGAAGGATTCAAGGGAAAACATGATAAGCACCAATTTCTTAATTTCAGGGTTTTACAATATTATAGTAGGTCTAACTGGTCTCTACAAAATGTATAAACTCTGCAGGGTAATAAACTGTTAAATCCTATAACATATGCCTAGTAAAAATATACCATACAGGCATGGGCGGATACAGGAATTTACTTTAAGGGGGGGGGGGCAAATAAACAGTAATGTAGAATATGCTTTTATGGCCCAATTTTTAACCCAAAAGCATAATATTTAACCCATAAAAATTTATAGATTTTAGGAGGAACCGGGGCCATATGGACCCCCCTTCTGTATCTGCCACTGTATACAGTGAAAGAACCTGCTAACCACCACCCGTCCAGTACTCTTTTTTACAAAATTAGTAAAATGGGGCTTATCATATTTTCCTCTCAGTTATTAAGTATTGGGGAAAACAGTTATACTCATTTTGATCCTATTTTATAATTTACTTATCTTTATCAAACTAAAAATTATATTAAATTAAGCAAATGTCAAATGAAAATTCTATATTAAAAGTATGTATACATTTTTTATTGAATTTATTCTGGTTCTTTTGTTATTTATATTTTAATAAAGAAATTAAAAAATCAATTGTTGCAAAATTCATGAAATAGTAAATATCGCGATATTGTATTATATATAGAAATATGTCCGTATACATAATAATAATATCGTCCCATTGCTGCCAAAAGTCACTAACTTACTTTTTATTACTTCCGAGAAAAACGCGTCTAAAGATGAATTGCATTGCATAAAAATGTTATAGTTAGTAACTATTCGGTATTAAAATACAACATAAATAGCCAGAAATGGTAGTTAATGACTTTTTCAATCGATTCTCCCCTTCAAAATACAGTTAGTGATTTAATTTTCAGGTTCGGAAAAATGTTAGTGACTTTTGGCAGCAATAGGACGATATAATGTGTACATATAAATAATCTGTAATCTTCATTATTTTGTAAACAAAATATTAAATGTCATTGCTATTTTGCCTGGTTTCTTTTAGGGATATACGAAAATATTCTGGTATAAAAGACCCACTTTTTCTATCATTATCAGCATATTATCAGTCTTCAAAACATTTTATCTGTAGTATTTATTAGTAGTTTATTATTGTACCTATTTGTTTATAGTGATCCTCATCTGTATTCTTTCTCATGATAATATTTAAAATATTTGTTAAAAAATACATTGGCCTAATTGCTGTGCAATGGGCAGTGCAAAATCATTAAATAATATAAAAAATAATAATTTGTTTAAAATTAAGAATTGATAATTATTTAAAAAATTAAAACAGGCTTTTTCAAATCTTGTGGAAGTGTGTTTTACTTTAATAAGTAATTAAAAAATCATCAAAATCCAGTTTTTCATATAAACTTTAAGTTACTAAGTTTTGTGGTACTTTTCTAGTTTTGTTGCTTTTAATATAGGGTGAGTCTTAAAAAAGTGCAAATATTAGGGGTAGTATATACCCCAGAAATACGATTATGAGATATTTTTCGCAAAAAAAAATTTGGGATTTTTTTAGTTATTAGTTAAAAACATATTTTGGTGATATGGCTACATAGGCAGTAGATTAAATTTATAAGAAAGAAAACCCAGAAAAGATCCAATGGTTCTCAAAATTTAAGCAAAAAATCTTTTTTTTTTGGAAATTTTCGAAGTAAAGTAAACTCGATTGTTTTAGACTTATTTGAAAAACGGTAAAGAGGAAATATGTTTCTTTTATCGAGATCAATCAGCCTTGAAAATATTTGCACTTATTTAAAACTCACCCTGTAGATAGAAGGTGGGAATATGTCAGTGTTTTTGTTAGGTTTTTTTGAGAATATACTATATAAAATACAGAATGACAACATTTTTAGGTATTTAATCCAAATAAATCAATGTTAAATTAAATTATTAAATATACTATATAAAATACAGAATGACAACATTTTTAGGTATTTAATCCAAATAAATCAATGTTAAATTAAATTATTAAATATACCATTTGTGTTGTACCTATTAGCTTACTTTTATGATATAGTTGTAATGAATACAATTGATTATTTGATTGCTAAAATCATTATTTCGAGATAAACAACATTTTTTGTTACATAACCAATGTATGAGAACGGGCGGTGTCTCTTGAGAATTTTTGTTCAATACAATTAATAGCCGTGGCTTAGCGCTTTATAGTATATTATGTGTTTGTTATGGACCTTATAGTCTAAGAGCTAGCAACGTTTTCGAGAAAGTATTTTAAGACGTCTGGCTCTTTGATATATCTTTTACTATGCTCTCTGGAACAGCATGCGGCTCGTCTTGGTGCCGATACCCGTTGCGTTCACTACTGCGCATTGGAAGAAGATCCTATATTTTTTATTAATTTAGTCCTATAAATTCTAGTATTGAATATAAATCGAACATGTCTCTATAGCGCAGTGCGTAGAGTTTCCGACCACGAACCGATGATTCAGAGTTCGAATCCGGGTCAGGTCAAAGACTTTTTTATTTTATTTTCGTTTATATTCTGATAGTAAAGTATCTTTGTATTAAATAATTCTGGTAATTAAAAAAACAAATATTTAATACTTTACTATCAGAATATAAACGAAAATAAAATAAAAACGTCTTTACCCTGACCCGGATTCGAACTCTGAATCATCGGTTCGTGGTTGGAAACTCTACGCACTGCGCTATGGAGACATGTTCGATTTATATTCAATACCAGAATTTAAAGGACTAATAAAAATATAGAATCTTCTTTCAATGCGCAGTAGGGAACGCAACATCTACCAGCAGCCAATGGGCCGCATGCTGTTCTAGAGAGCATAGTAAAAGATATATCAAAGAGCTAGACGTCTTAAAATAGTTGTTTTCCGACGTTGTTAGCTCTCCTACTATTAGGACATCTTTCAAATTAAACATGACAAATCGATTTTTTGTTTGATATGTGATTTTCACCATCATGTTTTTGACAAAAATTGAGCTCCAGACACCGATATTAGTTTTCGTCTATCCCCTATAGAAAAGGGCGTTTCCCTTTAAAAGCGTTCAATTTGGCCCATCCTGTAACTATATTAAATTATTTGCAGTTAGTAGAACCGATTAATATTGTATATATTTGTTAATTTATATCCTTAAATACACTGTTGATATTACAAATAAATTGTGATTTTTAATGTATTGCTTTAATGTGATATCCATTAAATTGTTAATATTTATTTGTTGGTTTTTTTTATTTCACATATTTATTTTACTCTAAACCTGAAATAATGAAAACGACTCGAAATTAGAAACATAAATATTTATTTTATTAAGACATATAATTTAATACAAAGATACAAAATATAATACTACGACTTATGTTCTAGCTAGAAAAATAAAAGATAAAGCAATATTCACACGAGCGTAAAGTCTGATTTACACTAATTTGACACTTTTTCAACAAATTTATTTTTATCAAATTATCAGATTTTATTTATTTTTATTAATAAACAGAGATATTGTACTTATATTTAGTTAATTAAAATTTTAAATTTAATTTTTTATACTTGTGTAAATCAGACTTCGGAAATAAGGAAGAAGAAGCTGACAATCACCTATGGTGGTCTAGTGTATAAAACGGTATCAAGGTACACAAAGTTGGGGTGGCCAACATCCACACTACATCTGTTGTTAAAAATTAAAGCTGGGTACGATTTCGTATTAATCTATGTTGGCTGAATTTACTATGAAGTGTGCATTCTTAGAGACGTATGCCAGGGTTTCTAGAGGCGACAAAGTTAAGTAGTTCTTCGCTGTCTTCGCAGACGAATGGTTTCAAATGGTGACAGGCAACGTCGTGCCATTTAACTCCGTCGTTGTAGAAGTTGTTGAGGATGGCCAGACAAGATTCGTCATTTCCCTGAAATTGAAAAAAAAAATCAAAACGTTATCTGCATTATATCTGCATTAATGTAATAAATTATTTATGTACCAAGAACGTTAGTAGAGCGATAATGCCCGGAATGTAACAACAAGAAATATACCCAGATATACCGATGGTTTTCTACCCGAGATATATTGATTAGACGATGTGGCATTATTGGTTACTAAGGCAGAAATATCGGGTGCGTTTCAAAAGTGGCTCACCACTATAACTTTTATATTTTTTCAAATAACTAAACGAGATTTGGTATCTTAGTAGGCATTATGACATAAATTAGGATTCATTGACGGTATCAATTGTCTTTTTTTGTCGCTTCCTGTTTCACCGGAAATTACCACTTTTGATTCTTAAATGACACTCTCGGTATTTTTTACTTTATTCGATAGAAAATGACACTCTGATTAGAATGACATATCATATGTCAACTTTTCACATTTTCAAATAAAAAAATTGCATTTAAATTTTAATTTAAAGTGCCATGTCCATAAATGAAACGACAATTTGACTCGAAAAAATGTGTACCAATCGAAAACCCAACCAAGTGTGTGGTACCAAATTCTTCTGATTTTTCAAAATATGCTAATGAGCCACCCTCTTTCTATTTGAAAACATTGAGATATGATTAAAAATACGATTTGGGCATCTTTTAACCGGCCAATTAGACGATCAAATATATTTTTCCAAGACTCCTTCAAGACGCAGTCATGGCACTCTAGATTGAAATAAAATACAATTTGTTTTTAAGCGAAAATCTCAAAATTTGACATATGACATGTCATTCTATTCCCAGTGTCATTTTCTATCGAATAAAGTAAAAATATACCGAGGCTGACATTTAAAAATTAAAAGTTGTAGTCATTTCCGGTGAAACAGGAAGTGACCAAAAAGAATTGAATACGTCAATCAATCCTAATTTATGTCATATACTAACATACCAAATCTCGTTTTGTTATCTGAAAAAATAAAAAAGTTATCGGGGGTGAGCCACTTTTGAGACGCCCCCGGTATAGGGTTAAATTTGAACAATTTGGTTTGTGGTATTCATCGAATTCATTTTAGTCTACTTTAAAATTTCATTTTTTTACATTGCAATTATTATTTTTTACGTACGTGATATTTATTCTTGGTTAATGTTTAAATGAAAAGTATATTTATATTCCCATAACATCTGTTTTATTATCAAAAATTCCCGGTCATAAATTAAATATTAATTATCTGATAACACTCTGTTTTTTATTATAAAATATTTTGTATTTACACTCATCATTGTAATTAATGAAAGTTATACAGGGTTGGAAACTTTGGTGTTACACAGCAAAATGAAACACTAAATCGCTACAATACACCAAAACCCATTTACTTTTACACTGGACGCGCGTAAATAAAAGTAAAAATGTTTTGGTGTATTGTCGTGATTTAGTGTTTTATTTTGCTATTTATTGTTAAGATAACTTACTACCTTACATGTTTTAAAGTACTAAACATAATAACATATTCAAGTATCTATTACATTTTAGAAAAACAAAAATTTTAATTGATTCAGAAAAAATAACAGAATACCTATAACACGATAAGTAATAATTATTTCTACAAAGTCCTGTCTAATTAAAAAGCGATAATTTAATAACTAATTGATAAGAGCATATGAAAACATTTCTAAAATTATTATAGGAATATTATTCTGATTTTAAAAAATCTTATCATTATTTAAATATGTATCAGACAAAACCCAAACAGTAGAGTGATTAGACGAGTTCATTCGACTGTCGAATGACTTGAAATCGAAATAATTAGTAAATTCCTTGAAATCAAGCGACTTTTGGATGGTCAGTGACCTATTTACGACACCAGGATTGCGAATAAATTGATATTACAAAATATATGTAAATATCCATATGTACAAATATATAACTTTTTTACTTTAGACGCCAAATATGCTTCGTATTTAAAATAACGATGTTTTAATATTATTTAATCTACGACAATGTCATTATGACACATTTAACATTGTCATTTGGATCTGTTTGGATGTCCATTATGGCTTTCATAATAGCACTAGTGCTATTATGAATTCATAATAACACGCAAATTCTAAAATAAGAAACAAGCAAAAAAAGGTACCTAAATACGTTTATTTATTGTAAACATTAATTATAATATCAGTACAATTGATTAAATTAATTCCAGACGATGACAGGTGAGTTGAATTTTTAGAAAGTAAATTTATTTCCTGAGTGCTTGAACTTGTTGAAGACCTATCATTGCCAGAAATGTTACCCAAAATATTACATGACGCTTTTTTCTTATTATCTTTGGAATTTTCTATATAGCTCTCTGCCACTGTGTTAGAGCGCCAACCACTATGCCTTTTAACAGTTAATAAATAACAGTTAATAAATAAATCCAATCTGAATCTGCAAGCAACGACGCAGACGATCTACGAAAACAATGTCCAGTGTATTTTTGTGGATTTGGAAGACTTAGAATGCTATTTTATACGACATTTTCCTTAAAGTATTAATGCCAACGGGTTGCTTAATACATTTTCCATTTCTGTACCCCACAAAAAATCGAGTATGCTCTCTGTTGCTTGGCCGCATAGCTATATATCTTCGAACCATTTCCACCATATTTATTCCTTCAACATTCCCTTTCGTTATAAAAAAATCTCGTGATGTCTTTGTTTTCGTAAATGGAATAATGACAAGAATGCATTGTCCTTCATCTTTAACACTTTGCAGCTGCAGATTTGTCAACTCGATACGCCACCGGCGGCTCCCGCAAGTCCCACTATCAATGAAACTTTTACCAGGAAATAAGTTTTATCATCGGCTTCCAAAAAAAAAACGAGTTATGTCTTCTTTTCTTAAAATTCTCGATTTTTTTGACCGAAATCCTTCCGATTTTCTTGATGGACGTACTTACTAATATCTGTATTTTTCTTCAGTGATATAACTGAACGTAGCATGGAATAATATAGGTACCCAAAGTGATGAAGCCTTCCTATGTTTTGAAAGATCATATAGATATGCCAGGAGAACCTTTTCGTTACTACTATTCTTGATTCCTTTCCCTTTACACCAATCTTCAAGTTTTACATAGGCTTGCTCGTACGTTTGTCTTGATTTTTCGGGAAGTAGGGAATCGACAACGTTTTGCGCGATGCCTTTAATATCCGAAGGGACACTTTCAGAATCAGAATCACCCATATTAATATTATTTTTTGCTCTTTGCTAAAACTGAACGTTTAACACAAAATTGAACATCAATAATTGAGTTATCAAAGTCAAAATGGAAACAATCAACAAGCGCGGTTACCACGGCGTCGACTAATATGGGCACCTGATAATTTTGAATTTTAATTTTTATGAGGATATCTCTGATATTTTAAATTAAATCAAATCTCTTTGGAGAAAATCTCTTTCTCTTCCTGTGTCGCGTCGCAGATTAAATTTTGAATGATACACGTTCGATACGAGCTTTTTAATGAAACTTGTGTAACTAAGCCACTCGGCTAACGTTACACGCGTTTCATTATGATATTCGTATCGAACTTGTATCATTAATAACTATTTTACAACTATTTATCTAGTTTAGTATATCCTTGAATGTGGTAGACAATGATTCAGTATTGAAACTAAATGAATTTCGGAATTCCATTGTCTGTATTTATTTTGATTAACACTTTTCGGTCAGCAGGATCACTGACTGTTATCTTTTACTACGCTGAGGAGTACTTGGCACGCATCAGAAGATGGTTCAGCAATGCGTTTTTTTCATGAGCTTTTCTATAACTGAAAAGCCCGTACGTGATGTTATCTCTCTTCCGCGCTCCGGACATTAATAAATCTCATTGCTTTGTGGCCCCTCCACCTTTTGGTTGTCGCTGTTGACTGAGTTTACAATTCTTCTCCATTGCGTTCTAATGTGCACTGATTCTACGTGCTTATCCCCTTTAAGTTTTCGTGGAAAATATCTTTGTACCTTTTGAGTTGTCCACCCGGTTTTCTCTTCTACAAGCTCACCGTAAAGAAGAGATTTTGGTAGGCAGTTTTCTTGCATCCTGCATACGTGACTAGCCCATCTTAAGCGGGATTTAGTAATCATGACTTCAACGTTCTCGCAGCTAGCTTTTTCAAGGATCGATACGTTTGAGACATGGTGGAACCATTTTTTGTACTTTTCTTTGTGTCGAGTCTTTTTATGTTGTACAGACCCACAGACCGCCGTCGTATCTGTATCTAATGCCCATTTCTCTTGCCTGCAGTTTGCTGGCCACTATAATTTCATGGTTATCAAGTGTAAACAATAATGCGTTTTAATGTTATTTAATTCAACATTAAGTGATGCTTCGTCACTGTATATGGTCTTTGCTCGATGATAAAGAAAAAAGCTATTCATTTCTTAGTTTCTTCAGAATGGTTTGACTGAAAACTTAAATATTGTCCAACATAATTAAAAAAGAAATGTTAAATATTGTCCCATTAAATATATACCCACACACACGGGACAATGAAAACCTAACTTTAATTTGAGACAATAATTCATCGTTATTAGATCCTAAACAACTATTATTGAACTAGTTCGAAAAAAGTTTTATTGAACCGAAAACCCCTGTATATTTAATAGATATTTCATTATTTTTAAATTACTTTAATATCCTTTAATGTTTTATCTTTATAAATACCTGGAATTATTTCAAAATTAGATATTAAATACCTATTTCAGATTAATCAAGATATACACTGTATTTCTAATCCTATCTTATCAAATATATAAAAAATATGTTGTTAATATTTTATTAATCGATATAATTATTTGTTTCTATTAAGTGGCTTTATCTGTTTCTATTATTATATTTATCGAAATTTAGGGATATACTTTTTAGTATTAAGAAAAACAGCTCAATGTTACAGGAGAACTATACCGGGTGCGTCTCAAAAGTGGCTCACCCCTGAAAAATGACACTCTGAATA